CTTTGCAATTAGTGCAAATGTTGCAGAAATCCTATCAAAATGGTATACTATTCTGTACCTATTCTTTTAAAATCGCACGGGCACATCAACACACACAGGTTTGTCCTTTTTAAAATACACAATGCAGTAGAAAACTCAGTCCAGGGTAGTATATCTTTTCCCATCAACTAGGACTAGCTCTTCAATATCCCTGAAAAAGCAGTGACTTAACCATTGCGTTCTGTGCTCTGGTAAGTTTCATACTGGATTGTTGCAGTGTATGTGGGGTTGCCTTAAAGATGATTCAGAAACTTCATCTTGTCCAAAATGTGGCAGCCAGACTACTGGCCAGGGTTCTATTTAGGATTCACGAAGCCCCTGCTTTAAAACAGCTGCACTAGTTGTCAGTACATTTCCTGGCCTAATTCACGATGTGTAATTAGTATTTAAAGCCCTAAATGACTTGGGCCTCCTTCCCTACAGACTCTCTGAAGTGTTGAGATCAGCAGTGGGAGCTTCCCAGTAGTTCCACCACCCTTACAGGTTTTGGGGTAGCCGCTCAGGAGAGGACATTCCCTGCAGCAGCCGCTGAATTCCCGTCTGGCACCTTCACTATGTAGCTTTCATTGTATACCGAATATGTTACCCTGACCTTTGACACCTGATATATACAGTACATTTTAGGGTCCACCCTGTTTCATTGCATGCAATCTGATTTAACCGTTTTTAATCCTGTATTTTTAAATTGCTGTAATCTGTTCTAGGATCTCATCATGAAGGGCAGCTGAGAAATCAAATGAATTAATCAATCCGGGTGTGTTTCTCTTGGGATAAAGCTGCAATGGCGTGTTAATTGTGCTGATTCTCTAGGATTATTTCACCATCTCCACCAGAGTTAATCTTTCTAATCAGACGCAGCTGTGCAAAACCAAGATTAGCAAGGGAGAGGTGGATGTAGGAAAGCTCAGCCAACTCCCAAAATGAATTCTGTTCAGTGCCCAATCGGATTTGTCCCACGCAGTTTCTCATCAGATGCATATAATTGCTGAGACTCTTACCCCACCATTCCCAAACCCTTTGGAGCAAAAGACCACTACTAATTCTCAAAAGTTTCTCACAGATGACCATCTGTTTCCCCCTATGACCAGCTTGCTAAATTAGCAGCTGCTCAACCTCAGAAATTCTGCTGGTGGACATTCTGTACATTTCACTTTAGGAATCAAACCACAGTGCAACTGTTCACGTTAGCTGCACTGCTGCATCTTAGGGGTCCCATCACTAATGCTGGACAAAGCCAAGGTAGGCTGTGGTCCTTGATCTCAACCAAAGAGCCATGCTTCAAGTCCACTGTTTACAGCATAGCAGCCAATGCACACAAGACGTATCCAGGCATAAATCCAGCAAGGCGTCCATGTTCTTCATTTGGGCAGGTTGTGTGGTCATGGGAATTAAATAGTTTATTGTGGCATGCACCTTGCAATTTGTAGGAAAAGATGCATGAACCATGATGCCCACCGAATTCACGATTACTGCTACCAAAGCCCATTACCAGCTATATCAAATGAAGAAGAAGAAGAAGAAGAAGAAGAGTAAATAGTAGTAGTTTGGATTTGATATCCCACTTTATCACTACCTGAAGAAGTCTCAAAGCGGCTAACATTCTCCTTTCCCTTCCTTCCCCACAACAAACACTCTGTGAGGTGAGTGGGGCTGAGAGACTTCAGAGAAGTGTGACTGGCCCAAGGTCACCCAGCAGCTGCATGTGGAGGAGCGGAGACGCAAACCCGGTTCCCCAGATTACGAGACTACCGCTCTTAACCACTACACCACACTGGTGGTATAGAGAATCAGCACTGCAGTGGCAGGCTCTGTCCCCTGAACTACACATCTCCATTTCAGCGGTTGAAGTGAGTCTATGAACAAGTGTTTGTCAAGCACATGCACATAGATGCAAATCAGCCTGTTTCCATGGTGCCTTAAAAGGTCTGAAGGCCTGTTAAGGGGCTCAAGTGTAACCATAATGTGTCTCAGAGTTAAATATTTACTATACCACATGACACATATGGAACCTCTGGTCCTTCCTTTTCAAATCTGAGGGTCTGCCTGGAAAAGTGGGTCTCCTGTGCCACACCACAGCCACTTCTGTCTACATTGGTCTTTGCCTTTCATCAGAGGAGGAGGAAGAACAGCATCACGGTGGAATCCTGATGTACAGGAACACAGAACTACACTGAGCAGGGGTTGCATGCCAGAAGGCAGCCTCAGATTTTAAAAACTCTGCCTATAGAAAAATATCAAGTCAGGTCCTTTGCCTGGTCACCACATGCACGTCTTCCACATTCAATGAGATTTTTTTTAATATACAGGAGGAGTCAAACATATCATCTCTTGCCTCTTGCAGGCTGAGATGACAAGTTGTACCTTGTACAGTAATTCTGCTGTTTGGGTGGAGCCTAGCACCTCTTAGCTGCTGGAGTGACAGGAAACAAAAGTAAGGAAGCAAGAGGGATATTGCTGCAGTATCCTAGCTGGAGCTGGAAGGAACACAGAGCTCTTCCACATGCCCTTTTCCTTGGGCATTCGTGACCATTTGTGCTTGTGATGGGAACAGGGCGATCTTAATTTAATACTCTGTGTGCCTGCAAGAGTTTTAGGGCCGACATACCACTTCATTTCCAATAGGCCCATGTCCCAGAACTCATACCCTCCAACATTAGCCTGATGAAAATTGAGATGTGTGTCTTTTGGTGTGGCACTTGCAGGAACCAGCTGACCTGTGCATTAGCGCAGTGCAAAACAACATGTGCCTTTTGGTACAGCGCTGTATGGGAGCCAGTTGGCTCACGTGGCGCCACTGCAAGCTCTGACTCATCCTCCTCCCCGAGCTCAACAGCGGCAGTGCTGGAGGGAGGAAACAGGACATTCTGGGATCAGATCAGAAGCTGAGGTGGCTTCTGTAATTCTGAGATGTCCCAGGGAAATTGGGATACTTGGAGGGTATGCAAAACTTCCTGTGGAAATCCTGTAACAGTTTATACCACAGATGTTCTGTGTTCTGTCCTGCTTCTGTTGCGCTAAAGTGCCAAGAGTGCCTGTCCAGATGGCAATAAAGCAGCAACATTGGGGAAGCATCACAGAAGAACCAATGAAGCAGAATGATGTGTGGACAATCCAAAATAAGTCCACCACTGACGCACGATTATTCTACCAACATGTTGCACAATGCTAGCAAAAAACAACCCCACCACTCTGGAAGGGGGCCACAGGCACAAGAGGATTGAAATTTACCTGCTTCCACTAGACTCATCCCAATTTCACCTCAAAGGGTGGAAAATTACACATCATTTCTCAGTATTGCCATTAGTCTGGCAAAGAACCACCAGGCTTGTTTATTCTTTGCTGTTAACAAGGCAAGTCAAGAGGAGCTAAACTGCATGATACTGTGGAATGGGAAAGCGGAGGAAGAAAAATGTTCTAAGGTGAACAGAAATGGTTTCTACATCTTCCCAACCGATTTCAAGTCAAGCCAGCAACGCCCTTGGAAATCATACAAGTAATGTTGCCTGAGAGTTTTCATAGCACAATGCCAAGAGTTGGGATTTTTGAATAATAATAAAAACCACCCCTGGGCAAAAATCTTTACATTAATCATTGTAAATCAAACTGGTACTTGATGCTGAAACTGGATCTGTTTCAAGTAGGCAGTACCAGCCATAAGCCCACATCTCTCGCTTGCCAAACAATCTGAGAGCCTGAAGGGAAGATGAAAGTGTTGCCTGTCTCCAAAGAGCTATGTTCAGATGGGAGGCTCTGGACCAAAGCCAGGCCACAGCAACATTAGCAGGGGTGCAAGTGGCCATGTATATTAGCTCCACAGACCAAGTTGGTGAAGTTTACAACTTCTTTGCAAGGAGCAGATTGGACCCCTAAAGGATATCAAGAATCTGACCACCACCATATCCTTTTAATCTTTATTATCAGGGTGGAAAAATGAGAAAGATTGGTCCAAGGCAAGGGGAGGGAACCTTTGGCCCTCCAGTTGTAGAACTCCAGCTCCCCTCAGCCCCAGCCAACATGGACAATGATCAGGAGTGATGGGAGTTGTAGTCCAACAACATCTAGAGCATGGGTAGGCAACCTAAGGCCCGGGGGCCGGATTCGGCCCAATCGCCTTCTAAATCTGGCCTGCGGACTGTCCAGGAATCAGCGCGTTTTTACATGAGTAGAATGTGTGCTTTTATTTAAAATGCATCTCTGGATTATTTGTGGGGCATAGGAATTCGTTCATTTTCCCCCCTTCAAAATATAATCCGGCCCCCCACAAGGTCTGAGGGACAGTGGACCGGCCCCCTGCTGAAAAAGTATGCTGACCCCTGATCTAGAGGGCCACAAGTTTCCAATTTGTTGTCTAGGGACAGCTACTGATGAAGAGCAGCTAGCATCATGTTATGGCTGGGTGAGACAGGAACATATTCACTTGTTCTGCAACCACTGAACTGACTCTCCAACTGGTCCATGTTCAGTTCAGTAGTGATATTTGACCTTCCCATTTCTGTAACTTTCTGAAGGTTTCACACACCATGCAGTATATGGCTATATTATCCAACAATGTGTTTCATTGTGACCAAGATGCTTCCATAACGTGTCCCATTAGTAAATCCCCTTTAGCAAAGTTCCCTTCTAAGGTTAATTAAAGTTTCCTTTTTTGCGTGCCTTGCATGTTTTATTGCTTCCCATTGATTACAGCTGAAGGGATTCATGATAAATCGTCCCAATGCCATTTATGGATATACATCCATCTCACACAGTGTAGATTAGAAAGAACATGGTTATTGAGGGTACACGAGCAAGGCATTTAGAGTGGACAATTGGGTGAAATGGTTTTTTAAAAAACTTTTTTTATAGCAACAAAGTATAATTAAACAAAGTATTATACTTCTGTTACACACAGAGTCTTTGCAATAGTTTTCCACCCAAGTTTCTGATCAGGTCCATAGCCACTTTGCCAACTCAGATGCAGCCCTGGTAGAAATGAGTTGCTGGAGAGAGAAGGAAGTATGCTTTGAATACTTTTAGAACAGTTCAAGTTCAGAGGTGTGATTCTTGAAACAGTCTCTAGATGGGGCTGGTGCCAAATGATTTGCCAATGCTCCAAAGCAGTTCTGAAAAAATAAGCAGGTAGATTTCCAAATAGCCATACAAAGCAGAGGGTGAGGGGATACCATCTTCATCTAAGGATCATAGGGCAGTTTACAATATAAAACAATTTTAAAGCAAATTAAAAGTGGTAGGGGGTTATTTTGGAGACATTAAATGAGCTGGTACATATATTTGCTTTGGGGATTCCCAAAGAATGAATTATGTGTTGCTTGGTGTTTGCTTGTTTGTTTTCAATTTAATGATTAAGATTACTATTACTTATAATACCGTATCATTATATAAAATAAATAAATAATAAATACCTTATTTTTGGAAGAAGCTTAAACTGCCACCCTATGCTCACTTACTTGGAAGTAAGCCCCATTGATTTCTAGCCAAACTTACTTCCGAGTAGACGGACGCAGGACTTTAAAACAGGCATCCTCAAACTCGGCCCTCCAGGTGTTTTGGGACTACAACTCCCATCATCCCTGACCACTGGTCCTGTTAGCTAGGGATGATGGGAGCTGTCGTCCCAAAACATCTGGAGGGCCGAGTTTGGGGATTCCTGCTTTATAAGGATTGCTCATGGTTTTACCTCAGCCAGATCTGTATTTGGTTCTGCGTCATCCTTCATTCATTATCCAGTGTGGTGCAGTGGTTAGTGTTGGGCTAGAACCTGGGAGGTCAGAGTTCAAATCCCCACACAGCCACAAGGTTCAATGGGTGACCTTGGGCCAAGCACTGTCCGGCAGCCCGACCTACCTCACAGGGCTGTTTGGAGGATAAAAAGTGGAAGGGGAGACACATGCAAGGAAGTCTATATTTCATCCTCTATGTACATCTTTAATCTTCAGTATGAACTTGCGGTATAAACATTTATATCTAAGAATTCAAAGAGGAAGAAATTACCTTTCTGGGGGTTTTGATCCATAAACCTCACAGCCACAGAGAGCTTTCTCAACATCCAGCTGCTTGGGGAGAGGGAAGCAAGCAAATATTGTTGACAGGCCTGTAAGGTGAAGAGAGACCTTAAGAGAAGTTTTCTAAGTGGATTGTCACATGTTCAGTTTGTTTTCCTAGCACTCCTACAAAAAAAGGGGGGGGGGAGAAAGCCTATCCAGATTGCTGTCTGCTGTCTTCATCATGTTAGTTCCAAGCAAAAACTAAAAAATTAAAAATCCTGGAAGCAGCTCATGGCCAAGAAGAAAAGCCCAAAACACAGGTGTTGAAACCCTTCGGCTTTGGGAACCTTTGTCCCAGGGACCAAATTAAACCTCCTAGGCCTCCCCATTTGGCCTCACCCCTAGTCCAGAACGGGCATGGAGAGAATTAGCCCATTTCAGAATCAAGACTTGACTCTGCCTGCCATGCACATGTGAGAAAGGAAGCCAGTTGCAGTTCCTGAAGAGAGTCGTACAGAATAGGTCACTGGGAGATTTGGCCACCCCAAAGGCAGAAAATCCAGAAAATGTAACTCTCGCTGGAAGGGCACCAACAGCATGCTGGCTTTTAAATGGTGGCCAGCACCTGCTGTCCCAAGGCAGCTGCTTCACTCTCTCATGGTTATTGGCAGGGAAGAGGAGAGCTTTTTGAGTGCCATATAGACTGTGGGAGAAATTCAACATTGCACTCTTCCAGCAGCTAGAATCAAGGTCACTCAGATGTACTTCCAAGGGCCGTTCCTCATCCCTTTGCCTCAGAAACCTCCCACCTGCTTCCTCTCTCAAGGATGCATATCCTTCAACATTTCTCCAACAAAAATAGGGATGTCCCATTCCATAATAATAATTATAATACCCCGCCCATCTGACTGGGTTGCCCCAGCTATTCTGGGCAGCTTCCAACATCTATAAAAACATAACAAAATGATTCAGGGCTGCCTTCAGATGTCTTAAAAGGTTGTATGGTTGCTTAGATCCTTGGCTCAGGTGCCACATAACTCCATACACTCCAACATTTTTCTGATGAAAATAGGGATGTCCTACGGAAAAATGAGACATTCTGGGAGCAAATCAGAAAGTGAGGCAACGTCTATAAATCTCAGACTGTCCCTGACACTTGGAGGGTCGGAAGGATGAGGTTTTGCCTAAACAACCTACATAGGCTGAGGGCACACTAATGGAGAACAGTCCAGTCCAGGTTTCTGAGACAAGTGACTACAGTGCCTTCATTATACACCTTTAGGCACCAGGCAAAAACGTTCCTCTTCAACCAGGCCTTTGGTTAATTGACATTCAATGCCCATTTAAAATGTGTTGAGGGTGGGTGGGTTATTGGGTTGTTCTTGTTCTTATTTTGATTATGTATTTTGTGTTTTTATATTGTGGTTTTATCCTGTGAACCACCCTGAGACCTAGGGCAGTATACTACTACTACTACTACTAATAATAATAATACAATGTCCCTTGGCTAGCCAAGCCAGGGCTTAAGAACCTAGGAGGAGCCTCCTGGATCAGGCCAGTGGCCCATCTAGTCCAGCATCCTGTTCTCACAGGACCTGAGGGCAACAAACAGCCTTCCCTCCCCCCTTCTAAGATTCCCACTGCCTCTGACTTATCCTCTGTGAATTTGGCTAATCCTCTTTGAACGCTGTCCAAGATGGTGACCATGATTGTCTTGTGTGGATTTTATGAAGCTGTTGTCCAATGTCCCCTCATCACAGCCATATTTCTGAGGCATCACCTTCAGTGGTGAAATGGCTATTAATGCAAAGTGATTTCATGCTCTTTATTCAGCTCATAGTGGTGAGGAGGAATGAATGAATGTCCCCTCACAGTATCTGCTTTATAGACATTATTTACACAATGGGCTGCACATGATTGGCTAATTCTGGAATTCTACTGTAAGCCAATCAGGTTGTGGATTCACTTATATCTGGAGCATGATTGGGTGGTTCCTGCCAACCAATCATACTGCTGCATTGTTCTAGGACCAATCAGACTGCTGCATTCTGAATCCTATTGTTCTAGGACCAATCAGACTGCTGCATTTTGGATCCTATTGTTCTAGGACCAATCAGACTGCTGCAGTTTGGATCCTATTCAACTCAGTACATAACAATTAACTAGAAAGGCCTATTTGGGGCAGTTTAAGAAAGCGAAATTGTTTCATAGAATGAAGTTTACTATCCATAACTATCCAAGGAGAGCTATGTAGACAAGCCAATCTCAGGATTCGGTGCACTTTGCACCACAGATTGCAAGATTGTTATGTCTGTCTGACCTTATGGCTGTTACTTGAAAGCACTGCATAATCCATTCTGTCCAAACCAAGGAGGTGGGGGGGGGTGGATTTAGTATCCCTTTGGGATGGTGATGCAACCATATGAAAGGGTGGCTGCTGGCCCAGTGATCCAAGTGGGCTTGTCACAAAACCCGGTCATGTTCTTCTGTTCTAAGACCCAAATCCCCTAATTCCTGCTGGCCAGTTTTGGTCGGTGTTTAAAAGGCATCCCTGTTATTAAGTGCTAATGCAGCTGTGAACACAGGGCTTGGACTTCCCCCTCCTTGCTCAGTTGGCTCAACGCTCTCTGCAGCTGGTGTTTGCTGACGGCCGTTCTTGGAGGTGAAGAGTTTGTCCTGCACATGCCGAATGTGTTCATTTCTCAGGAATCAAATGACCACGCCAGGGCTAAACAATGTGTGGAGCGGACAATTTGTTTTGGACTCCTACTACTCCAGATGCTCAAAGATGGTGTGTCTTGATAAATCCAGGACTAAACAAAAGTGCAGGCAGCTCTCAGAAGGAATCAATTCTTCCCCAGAGTGTTATTTTGCACTTTAGCAAATGCCAGCAAGCAATCAGATTTAAACCACTTAGTGCCAGGCGTTTTAAGCATCACTAGCTAAAGCAGAACCAAAATATACTCTGCACTATCTCTCCTTGCCCCCAAATCAATTGGCATCTGCTTAGATAATGATAATCCATAGTTTCATCGAAGCAGCATTGGAGAAGAACGAGAAGAACATCTGGTCATTACTGGCAGAGCAGGGTATGTGATTTTAGGGGGTGAAACTCATTTTTTGCACATCCCTTCAGTAAGGGATCTTAAAAAGATGCCTTTTGGTGCGAGCGATTCAAATCTGCTTTTATTTTTGTGATTGGACATTTAGCTTGGTAAGTCTTTGTTTGGTTAAGGAGCAAATAAACTGCTCTTGGAAAACCAAAGAATTTTAGTTTTACCTTCTGAGAGTGTCAGGTAATAACATAACTGGCAATCATTTTTAATAATTTCTATGCAATTTTACGGGACACGGGTGGCACTGTGGGTTAAACCACAGAGCCTAGGGCTTGCCGATCAGAAGGTTGACGGGCTGAGCTCCCGTTGCTCGGTCCCTGCTCCTGCCAACCTAGCAGTTTGAAAGCACGTCAAAGTGCAAGTAGATAAATAGGTACCGTTCCAGCGGGAAGGTAAACGGCATTTCCGTGCGCTGCTCTGGTTCGCCAGAAGCGGCTTAGTCATGCTGGCCACATAACCTGGAAGCTGTACGCCAGCTCCCTTGGCCAATAAAGCGTGATGAGCAACCCCAGAGTCAGCCACAACTGGACCTAACGGTCAGGGGTCCCTTTATGCAATTTTACACACATTTTACTTGCCAAGCAAAACTGAATCATATTCATTTAACCCAAATATCTATTGAATCCCTAAGTCATGTTACAACTTTTTAGCACCCCTCATTTTTGGAATTTGAAAGTTGAAAAATTCAACATGCCCTATTGGCAGAATAGCAAAAATCACCCAGAAGCCTTTGCCTAGATCTGAACCATAAAATGTGCTGCAGACAACAGGTACACAGTAGAAAGGTGCTTATGGAGCGATTAGAACAGAGACCTAGGAACCTAAACTCTTCTGAATAAAATGATTACAGCCAAGAACAGGCCAACTGCTTTGAATAATCTGGGGTTTGGACAAGTGTAGAGTTAATGGGCCAGCATGACTTGTTCATGTTCCTCAGCAGAATTCAAAACTCTTATCAGAAAGGGAAAACTCACATTATGCCACTACAGAAATTCCAGTTGCACAACATATTACATAGCTGTTCAGTGTGCCTAAGTTTTAAAAGTAAAGTTTACCTTTAATTGCGCTGACTTCAGATGCAAGAGGTTGGCCTTCAGTATTGGGGCAAAGTTGTTGGCTGGCGGAACTAGTTCAAAATGAAACATGGAGGGACCACATACTGTTTCGACACTCACCTTTAAAGGCATAATACTTGCACGAACCTGATCTTGGATTAGATTATAATGTAGGTAAAGGGACCCATGACCATTAGGTCCAGTCGCGGACGACTCTGGGGTTGCAGCACTCATCTCGCTTTATTGGCCGAGGGAGCGGGCGTACAGCTTCCGGGTCATGTGGCCAGCATGACGAAGCCGCTTCTGGCGAACCAGAGGAGCACATGGAAACGCTGTTTACCTTCCCGCCGGAGCGGTACCTATTTATCTACTTGCACTTACCTCCCCATTTATCAATCATAAACCCACACATTTTGGTGCATCACTTCCGCAAACTACCAGTAATCTGTTTCTGTTAAAGTGGATTTGTTGTGCCAGAGTTTTAATCCACTTTAATTGCAGAACCCTAAATTTAAAGCATGCAGTTGAACTCCTCCCACAAAATACTGAGAATCTGGATGCAGCCTAGTGAGATTATGGCAGAGAAGTCTGGCTTGTTCCACTGGTTCTATTCTGGGCATTTTCACTTAAGTTGTGAAAAACAGGGACTGGCTCAGCCTTAACTTGTGTTAACTACTACTTAACTACTTCTCAATATTAATCCTGTATCTTTTACTTCCTTTGGAATCTGTCCATTGGCATGTAGTATTCCAAATCTTTCAACCTCATCATTTTGCTGAGGTGATGGTGTTCAGCATTCTGGAAAATGTGCAAGATTTCATCTGACTAGTATGGAAGAAAATAGTTGACTTTGAAATGCGCCATTGCCACCTAGCGGTCATTGCTTAAGTTGCACATATTCAACATTCACATTTCCCAGATAAGGTGAAAATGAGAGTTCCAATTAATTGATGATGTCATGTTGCGGCTAGTTAAAAATGGAAACATGTCTTATTACTTCGCCACAGCCAAGATTTGATTCTGGTGCTGAGTGTACAAGCCACAACACACAAGCTCTGAGAATCTCAGGCAACAAAAATGAAGTCTACTTGTCCTGCACAGAAGTGAATTATAGTTGTGCATTAGCAGGACCAGGTGGAACAGATGGGCAGCTCAAATTTCACCTTAGCTGCTAAGGTTGCACAGGTTGTGGGGAGACATGACAACCAGGGACAGGGCCTTCTCAGTGATAGCACCCTACTTATGGATAAACCTCCTCAGAGAAGCTTGTCTGGCACCTTAAATACAGTCTTCTCAGCACCATGTGAAATCTGAATTTTTATCCCACTGCCTGCATATTGCGTTTTTATTATTCTTTTAAATCTTTATTGCAGTCCAAAGACCCATAGAACAAGTACAGAACAAAATACAGTTAAGGCAGCCAACCACAAGAGAGAGAGAAACCGAGGCAGTCATTTTGTTATGTCTCAAGCATGATGATCTTTGTTTCTTTTAACTTCCAAAAGAAACTTTGCCACGGGCAATGTAATATAATTGGACCTGTCCTCCAGCAGATATTTAATATGGGAGGCTTCAGATTTTCCCAGCAGATTTGCCAGTAGGGGGTTGATCAGTTGGTCCCTCGCTTGCTCGTACTGCCCACAATGCAGTAAAATATGCTTCATGCAATTGACGTCCTGAGAACATAAACAAAGCCTATTCAGATAAGGGATGCCTGTCAGTCTACCATTTAGCACTAAATTGCATATTTACAGTTCAACAGTGAACTTGGATTTAGGGTTTTCTGCTGGATATTTTTATTATGCAACTTTCTTATACTTTTAATATCCTGTTTTTATCTTTGTGATCTACCCAGATCTGTTAGTAGATGACCAAGAGAACTACTGTAAGCAAGCAAATAAAAACTCCATTCTTTATCCTCAGCCCCGTCATTTGCAATATGGCAATTGTAGCTGAACCATCACTGGGTTTGTTTTGAGGACCAGACACAAGAGGCCTGCTGCAAGAACCAAAGGCGAATGTAAGTGCAGTGTCCCACTTCTTATATGAGATGATGTATGTATATGAAAATGGATGTGGAACACTGGGCTCCCCTACCTTCCCCTGCGAAGGTCTGCAGCAGCACAGATGGGGACTTTGAGAGCTAACACACAGCTAGTCCAATGGATGCCATTTGGATACAGTCTGACATTCAATCATGAACACAAAGACAGAAAGGAAAACAAAAGCAGGGTGTTTTAAGAGTATTTTATTGAGATTGCTTTTAATATAGGTGCACCTGAGGAGTAAGTGGTCTGAAACAAAGGAGGCAACAATCCTTGGCCTCAAGAGCATTTCTTAGCCTGCAAGCAGAGGGGGGGGGGTGACCAGGGAAAGGGATTTGCACTGCTGACACTTGCTCTTCCTTCCCTTAGACCTGCAGCCACCTTCAGATTTAATACCTCCCAATAATATTTGCACTGGCCACATACACCCAAAGCCAGGGAGAATTTTGTAAGTATTTTCCAAATCAAGCTAATTTTATTTATTTATTGCAACCAGTATATCTGGTGAAGAGAAGTTCCCAATATGCTAGAGAGTCTACTTTTCATGGCTGCAACACAGCAACAGGGGATAAATTGGATTCCTTGCACATTTAAAGGTGAACCTACCAAAATTTGCCCTTTCTGAAACATGACACCAACTGAAACCTTTGAAACAGGCATTTCTTTGGATTTGACAATGCAGTTCTCCAGCCAGGTAATGTGTGCTAAAAGCAAATGTACATCAATATGTGTGTATTAGTGAAACTAACATACAGTGGTGCCCCGCAAGACGAATGCCTCGCAAGACGAAAAACTCGCTAGACGAAAGGGTTTTCCATTTTTTGAGTCACTTCGCCAGACGAATTTCCCTATGGGCTTGCTTCGCAAGACGAAACGTCTTGCAAATTCTTGTGAGTTTGTTTCCTTTTTCTTAAAGCCGCTAAGCCGTTAATAGCCGCTAAGCCGCTAATAGCCGTGCTTCGCAAGACGAAAAAACCGCAAGACGAAGAGACTCGCGGAACAGATTAATTTCGTCTTGCGAGGCACCACTGTACATGAATACACAAAATTGCTTTGCAAAAATGTGTTACATTAGGCCAAAATTGCAAGCAAAGGTGCTTATTAGGAGGAATTCTCTGGTGAATTTTCACAAGGACTTAAAAAAAATAATAATCCACAAGCTGGTGTGGAGATGTGGGTAACTGAACTAAAATGCAGTGGAGGTGAAATGCAGAAACTGAAATTAGCAGATTTACCCATCCCCACTTTGGCGGTGAGCAGGAGTGTGGTTGCACATAGATTTGCAAGTGTGGGTACAAAAACAAGGAAATACAGACAGTCTTTTTGACAAACCCTTTACTGAAATCCATATGTTACAATTAATAGTGTTTTACATTTCTCATCTTCTAAAATCACATCTTTGGAGAAAAAAAAAAAGAACAGCAGCTTAATTTTAAAGGCTTCTTCAACTTCTTGAAGGTGCGGATGAAAAACAAATGATTGAACATGTTTGAGAGCAGGATTCTGTGCTTTCTGGACACAGTTAAGGCAAAGAACTTCTCTTCCCATTCTTGAATTCCCCAGGTGGGAAGAGACTGTGGCAGCAGCAGCAAGCTGCATAAACGGTAGCGCAGGTTTGATGGGTGTCTTATAAAAGGCTCATAGAATGCCAGAAAGTCAGATTTAACAATAGTCTTTCTTCTGAACATCTTTGGGGTTCTGGCAGGCAAAGGCACATACTTCACTCAACACACTGAGGCGAGGCTTCTTCCTAAGCTGATTTGCCACATACAAAGCACAATCCAGCAATGCCATCAGGAAGGTTCATCCGGAAGGTTCATTACCCTCCCTTGCTTAAAGTCTGAAATGACTATTGCCTACATCTGCAGTAGCTTGATACCTGAAGTAGCTTGATACCTGAGAACAGAAATCACCCCAAGTTAGTTCAGCAGATCCAGGGTATCTGGATCAATTTCTCATGGAAGGCTTTAGCAGACATATCACAGCAGAGGTTGTGGTTCTATAATAGAACCATAAAGGCCTTTTGATCGTTTATCAGAAGCATCAGATAGCATCCTTTGCATTGTATTAATTGAGCTAAAGATAGAAACCCACTTAATGTGAAAAGCAACATTCCTTGGGGAAAGGAGTAACCTTTCTGTAATTTTTTGAAACTTGTATTGCACAGGGCCTTCATACCATAGGCAAACTCTGTTAAGTATGTTTCTGACTTTTGGGGAGAGGACAATGGCTGGATTTTTGCGTCATAGTAAATGTTTTCCTATGAATATGCAGATCTCTCCCACATCACTCTTCCCCGATAAAAAGCGAGAGCGAAGACAACAATTCTTGACTAAGCATTACATCTGAATTGGGAATTGTGATCTGAAGCCAATATTTGTTCTTGGCTTGCCATGCATGGGTCATTTGGCACCCCAGTCCCCAGGTCAGATGTAACACTAAGCCAAGGGGTGGGGGTGGGTTTGCTTCCACTATCTGCTAGGGGGAAGCATAGCAGAAGTGATCTGCGTATTAACAGTAAACCATGACTTAGCATGATGTGAAAATTCAGCGACAGAACTATGAATGTCAACACTTCTTATAGGCCAAAGCCTGGAGCGCTGGAGATGGTCCGCCCCACATATCTCAGGAGCTGGAGTCAGTGGCTGTTGGTAGTGGTTGATGGGGCAACACTGCTTGCCCGACTTCCCATCACTGTCATTGCTGTGGCTTACCAGGAGGGGGAGTGGCAAGGCTGGCACAGTGCAAATGCAGTCGTGGATCTGGTGCTCCCACTGGTGCACTTCCGCCATGCCAAGCTCACTGCTGCCTCAAGCCCAGTGGATGGGAGGTCAGGAAAGCAGTGCTCCAGGACCAACTACTACTATCTATATTAATGCCTTTCTCAACCTTGGGTCCCCAGATGTTGTTGACTACAACTCCCATCATCACTGGCCATTCTGGCTATGAATGATAGAAGTTGTAGTCCAACAACTCCTAGGGACCAAGGCTGGTCTATATGGATTTCCCGAAGGGAGTGGTGAGGGCAAGAGAGGGGTAGGTTTGGAAGCAACCATCTGGAGGCAAAACTTGTGATTTTTACCAGCAAATCCGAATTTGCTTCAGTTTTCCAGCTTCCCATTAATGTAAACTCACTGGAAAACTGCAGCAAATTTGGATTCATGGGTAAAAAATGTATTTCTTGCATTATGTTTTTAAATGTATGCTTATTTAAAGCTGAAATTTAAGAGGATTGTGTGAAGACACACACTAAGCCTTAAGCCACTGCATAAGGATATTGGGAGCCCAAGAGGCCACTGGAAGTTTCATTTCTGAGCACCATCTATGTACAACCCTTCTAAAAAGCTATCTGCTATTGACAGTACAGTTTCATTGGATATACCAACCGGTGTCTGGAATCAGAGTAGCAGCACATTTAATGTTCACCCAAGGTATAGATTTGCTTGATAAAAATCAATACATCTTTTTCCAAGCCTTGCCTTCGACATGTGCAAAATGGTCTCATATACACAGAACTGTGGGTGCTCAATTGCTGGAATTATTTCAGCCAAAGAATCTCAGAAATAATCATCAAAGGAAATCCTGCCAGAGTCCTGTTTCCTTACTTATTTTGATTTCTGCGCTCGGCATACTAAGAACGAGACGAGGAATCCAAGGAACATCACGCTGCCGGCAATGATGAGCACAGCTTCCAACAGATGCAGAAGCTTGATCTTATTGGTCACTTTCTCTCGGAAAAACTCAGCTTTCTTATCATCAATAATGGCCGTCTGGAGGAAGAAGAGGGAGACCAAGAGCAACATTATTCCACACAGAAGTCCACAAGCAGTTTCCTCCCCACATGTGGAAACTGCAATGTCAAGTTATTTCCATCTTGGATCTATGAAAAGGAACCTGCTTACATCCCTGATTACACCCAGTTCCATTGCATAAAAATAATAATAAATGGAATGGAATGGTGAAAGAAGGAGGTGGAACAACAACCAGCTGATTGTCACATCTTCAGAAGCCCCTTTCAAAGTGCTACCTAAGGCCTGCAAACCTGCTCGTGGCCATCAGGTTTTTACCTGCCCCACACCCGGCATCATGATGGGCAGGTGGGTTTGGCTCAGTGAATACAGCATTGAAGGACAACTGGGGAGGCTCAGTGGGCCTATACAGACTCATGCGTTGCAGATTCCCCACCCAGGAGTGCGTGCAAGAAGAGAGTCAGGGACTTAAGTGGTTATGCATACATTGCTCAAAATGTTTTACCAACACATGCTGCACATAGTGCAGTGCAAGATAAATGTCTTCTATCTTCTTGATTGAAGTCATTCCTTTGGGAATGTGGTTTCCAGGAGGCCTCCCATCTGGGCAATGACCCAGACTCACACCTGCTTAGTCAACAAAGTGATGGTCTCAAGGCCACACCCTGGGAACCCAGGTGCTCTACAGCAGCGTTGGCCTTCAGGCACTTTTGGGACTTCCAGCCTGTATGGCCAAGGATTAAGGATCATGTAATTCAGCAATTTCTGAAGGGGACCAGATAGATAAGACAGGCAGGCAGGCAAGCAGGCAAGACAGCTGGGGTAGCCAAACACAGAGGAGAAGGCTGTGGTAAACAACTCTAATAGGGTAGCTGGTTTACAACACAAAGCATTCAAAAAAGATGAGCCCCTGAAGGGAAGGGACACCATCCAAGATTGTGCCACTTCAGTTCACCCAATGGTGTTGGGATACGGCAGGCTGGATTGGAGAGTGTTAATGGAGCCAGGATGACTTCAGGCCAGGCATGGCCAAACTTGGCCCTCCAGATATTTGGGGGCAACAATTCCCATCATCCCTGACCACTGGTCTTGTTAGCTATGGCCATGCCTGCTTTAGGCATTTCTCATGCAGTGAAGTTTGCAAGGCACATCTTCCATTTGGGAAGCAACAGAAAAGTGGCCCAAGGCGACACTTGAAGATAATGACTCAGACTTATTTCTCCATATATCCAGCCACATTGCAAGCAAGTCTAAGCAGAAAACACAGTAGAAAGAATTTTGGGAAGAAGCTTTACTCTGAGTGAGGCCTCAGAGAGACACACAGGAGAGTGTCCTTGGGAGCAGCTGCTGCTCCTCTGGAGATCTGATGGGGAGCAGGTGGATTTGCTGTTGCCAGTGCCTCAGCTGCAAATAACCTCAAATATTAAAAACTAAATTCCACCACTGTTGCACCCATGGAACTCGTCAACACTAAAGAAGTAGGACAAGCATAGTATATAGATTAAATTGTGATAGAAAGGAAGTCTTGGCCAACATTTTTAAAGGGGTAGGAATAGCGAGTTACAACAGTACTTATATAACTAATGAAGAGCAACAGAGAAGAACAACAAACAGAATTTACCTCATTCAGCCACAAAATAGGAAAGAGAAATGGCAACTTGACCTGTTTTAGGGCGCTGCAATAAAACATATGAAAATATAATTAGAATGAAAAAATTGGGCAAAGATCCGTAAGTCAGAATAGCATTTATGCAGCAGTTTTTGCATGTTCAACAGGAATAAACCTAAAAAGAACTACATGCATCCTGATATGTTCAGATGATCACATCTTATGAAGCAGTCTTTAATAATAATTAAAAGCCCACACACATACCCTTTTCACAGTGTGAGCCATCAAACCATAAAAACTCTAACCTTAGTGTCTGAGGCTGGTAACCATAGTTCCCTGCTTTGGACAGAAGAGGAGACTAAGGTTCCAGAGGTTTCTTGGTTTGATTGATTGTGTTGCGAAGGGAGGAGCAAAGGTCCTGTGACCAGGCAAAAGACTCATTCATCTCTCTAATAAACCAAATTATTAAATTATTTGCATACATATATGGCTATGATCATTGGAACCAGCCCAGTATGAACCAGCCCTAAAGAGAATGATCTGTATTTCCTATTGCATTTTAGACAATATTGTCACTATTGTGTGCTGTCCTAAGGATAGACCTGAATATTCTTCAAGGCAGCATGGAAGAAAAGAACTATATGACTTGTCACAAATTTCCTCACATTTCTCACCAAGTTAAAACCTAAAAAAAAAAGATTCTCCCAAAATTTCACTTCAGCATGTCTGGTGGGAAGCTACAGATGTCCAGAGCACATGTGATGCTTTTCCTTTTGTTTTCCTCAAAACAATGTTGCATTAAGCAGGAATAGAAGTTATTTCTGAAGTTTCATCTTCAGTAGAAAATCTAAAGCAGCAGGAGCCAATTGGGTACCCTACAGATGTTGCTGGACTCCAACTCCCATCAGCCCCTGCTGCCATCACAGGATGGACGTGCTTTGGTTTGTGTATTGCTTCAGAAAGTGCAACTTCAGCAAGTCTGGCTTTAACTGGAAACTGTATCTGATTTCTCTCCATTCCTATTCAAGCCAATAATATTGACTTGAATACTGTGTATTCTTCAGAAAGGAGTGAAGTACCAGGAAACCTCTGTCTTTTTCCTTGTCATCTAAACTCTACCTTAGATTGCAGGGGACCTGGGATAGAGTTGGGTCCAGTTATGTCATGCTACAAATTGGAATTAACTGTCCAGACATACACTGAGTGGTAATTTCTACTGTATCCATAACATGTTGAGGAACAAAGTGTCCACCCCTGGAAATGATCAGGTTCAAGTATGCAGAGGGACTTACAAACCCAACACTGAGAATTTACAGAGAAGCACATGCACTACTTTTTAATTCAATTAAAACAGCAACTTACGTAATTTTTGTAGTAGGCCTCACCAACAAATTGATTTGCAGTCTTTTGGCAAACTGCAGTGTAAACCCTGTGGTCTAAAAAACACAACACAAATAAATATGAAGTGCCATGAACAATTGATGCTGAGGGGGCGGGGGGGGGCACTAGTAATTAGCAGCATTAAAATACAGTAACATGTTTTTATTTGGATCCAAAATTAGAGCATTTCCTATTATAAGAGTAGCTGAACAGGAAATGGCCAAAGTTACATGATTTATCTTTAGCTGCAACTAGACATTGGCAATCACAGCACCACTGCAATTTCAGATTTCCCTAGTTGCTCATTTTTCCAGTCTTAGTTCTGGTTTTTCACATTTCCACAGCATTTTGAAACTCTCATGAATGTTTGTCAGCATTTATGTGCAAATTTCTCCTAATATACATGTTTGCATGCAATTTCCCCAACTATAATGCGTCCTTAAGATGCTTTTGGCAATATATGCATTGATATGTAGACTTAATTGTCGTATATGCATTTCTGTAGACAATACTTGGCAAGAGAACTACATTGCAAAAACCTGGAGAAGAGCTATGAAGAATTTTGAAGGAGGGCTGTGTTTCAGTCCACTTTTTCTTTTGGGAAGAGTGAAGTCCTAGCTGCAACACCTTGAACAGAGGCCATTTATCATGATTCCACATGAGTTACATCAAAGTAGCTAGGTCCTTGTTTGACCTGAGGGTTATATTCAAACCTCCCAGGGCTAAATGCTCCCAAACCTGCACTCACTTGCCCCCCCCATGCCCCTGTGCGGTGCTGGGTGGGGCAACACAGGCAGTGAACCCCCCCATCCCATCTGCATTGCTGGCCTGGAAGTGCTGTGACAGGGAGGAGGGCTGCCATGCCTGGTCCAGCTTGCAGGACATGGGCTTTCCCGCCCCACACAAGAGGAGGTGTGCATGAGCCCACAGTGCAAAATTCGGCCCTAAAGTGATGGCAGCCAATTTTAAGACATTTCCCTTTAAGATTTGTATCAGGCTTTTGTTCAATATGGGAAGGACTTTGTGTGCAGGTCCAATCTCTGGCACTGCCAGTTAGGGCTTGAAATATTCCGCACCTGAAACCACGGAGAGCTGCACACAGGCGGCGTAGTCAGGACTGAGCTAGATGTCTCACTTGGTCTAAAGTAGGTTCCTATGTTCTTTGATATCAAGAAATGGGGCAGGGGAGGCAGGGGAGACCTCTGCCAAGAGTGGAGAATAATTCTCCCTTGTCTCACATGGCTGAAGCAAACTAGGCCCTGCCCAGCTTCAGAAACATCTGGCAACAACAGGTCCCTCAGGGAGCTTTTCCTGAGGCAAACACTCTGGCCACTCTTTCACGAACCCCAAAAGTTAATCCCAAGATCACATGCAGTATCCATAAGTTACAGGCTGCTACTGCACTAGAGCGCTGGTGCCAAAATCCTGTGTGACAAGACAAAAGATGCTGAGATCCCACCTCACCCCCTTTGTGGGGCTACATTTAAGTTATGTTTAAGTTATGCATGTAAAGGATATCAATCTGAGCTCTACTGCAAGCCAAATCCTAGTTTTTCTAAATGACAGAACTGAGGCACTTAGGTAGGGGGAGAGAGCGAAAGGGTACAGTGTGATCACTTACTGGCTCTACATCCAAAAAGGTCATATGCTCAGGTGGATTTGGGTGCAAGCCTTCAACGCCTTGAGCAATTTCTTCACTTGCATAGAGGAAGTGGGGGAGTGTGACATATACAGGTTTTCCTGCGGAGGAAGAGGAGAAAAAACATCAGTACAATCCCACGGCAGTAAGCCCTTCTCTTTCTAGCGCCTAGCATGCTAAAAACCATGCTACTCAGCCTATATGGGGAAAACTACATCTGTTCCAGGGGCCGCCAGCCAAACAGACCCTATGCAGCAGCATGCCAGGGGCTCAGAATGGAACTGAAGGCCATTTTCTTCATGCTTGCAGCTGCCAGAGTGCCAACAGTGGTCAGGTTAATTGGGTAAGAGGTGGAGGGGGCTGAAAGGTATGCAGGTGGTGAGGAAAGAAAAGGCAGAAGTCCTTGAGTTATTCTCATTTTTAAAAACTGAGTTGGAAAAGGATTTTGGACTCACAGTACGCATTGTGGCAAGTATAATGACATCTCTACTTAAATTGCACAAGACGTTGCATTGTGCAAGAGTGACAATTTAGATGTACATTAATTTATACTGTAAAAAAACATGATGCAACCACAGATGATAAACCTTTGATATTCAACCACAATTCAGGTCTGTTTTGCCCCCACCACACGATCAGATATAAGTTTTGAATGTGTAGTGCCAGTATAGCTCATGATGCTAACATGGCTTAACATCAAAAAAAAAAAAAGAAAGACTTTGCAAATTATTTTCATCTCACCTTTTCTCCAGTGGGAGTCCAGGCACACCTGCAATTCTTATGAGTAATGTTGTACAGGTTGTTATATATGCAAGCAAAACTTTTACAATGTGGAATTCTGCTCCGTGTACACATGCACACACCTATATGTAGATGTATGAATGTGTGTACATTTTAAGTATTAAAAGTTTGTGTACAGTGAATGAAATCTGTTGCACTTTAAATGATAAAAACAAAACTCTCACAAGTATTTCAGTTCTTTTTTCAATTTACCCCATTGTTGAATTTTACTCAGCTTTACATTATAAAGCCTCAATCACAACGTGCCCTCGCAAGTGAGTTCAGATGCAGCCCTTAATAGATTTACTCTTAACAGATCAACTCCATTTTAGCAGTATGGCTATAGAGAAAGGGCTGTTGGTTTCCTTTTGAATCTAATGGGACAACTTAAGACATGACTTAAGCTCCAGTGAAATCAGTGAGAACTCAGTGCAAGTAACATAATTTGGACCCAATACAGAGCCTTGCCCCTGGTGCCTCCATTCTCACCAAAGAGCTGTTAGTTGGACAACAGAGGGCACAGCCTATGGCAGGACCACTTCCCAAGTTCATATTGTCCAGACCTCCAAATCTTTATATTAACCACTCCAGTAGCTTGCTCATCTCAAATTGCAGGCAGATACCTTGTTTGCAAGAACTGATGTCCAGTGCCCCAGCTAATGTGCAATTCTGGGATATCTCTTTCTCTGTGCAGAAGCAGATGTTGTCAGGATTGACAAGAGGAGATGCAAAAGCACCTGGAGGGACAATGAAGCGATAGAGTGGGATGTCCTTCACAGTCTGTTCACTGTCAAAGTTGCTGTAGATGGATCTGGATATGAAGTGGGACAGGAAGGTAGCGTCTTAATTTAGGAGCAAACATACAGGCACCTGTAATTTCATAATTTCTATTATCCTAATTTGCTATCCATATACTTACCATACATTTGGTGGCTATCTGCAAAATTAAAATACGAGCCAGAGATTTCAACCTGCCCATTATTTTCAAGCTGTGCCCATTACTTTCAATGTGTTTCCAACACCTCTCCAAACGCATGAGGTGACCAAAACAAGCCTGAACACATTTGAAGAGCTAATTTAAATTTGCAACCCTTATGGATGATTTTCCTCCTGGGAAGGCCTGAAGAAATATTGCTTCAGTAGTACTACCTCACAGCAGTTTTTGATACAGTGGGACCAAAAATTTGATGGGCTGCCATAAAAAATAACTGGTGAAAAGAATGGCACCAGAGGAGTTAACACACTAGTTTTCCATATGGCTAAATAGTAACTTTGGGGGACGGTTTCTATTGGCAAATAGCACTGTAGTTGTGTGATTTGGGGCCTTCTGTGCCTGCCTTTAACTTAAAAAAATGTGGAAGAATTTGGTCATTGATCTCTCATATGATGCCCAAATTTGGCCCAAACAATGCAGAAGCTTTGCCAGATCAATGTCGGTTCTCTTCAGTGTTACCCCAAGCTGACTATAAGCCAGATTTTTTTTTATATAAAAAACAAAAACAAACTTTTAATCATTATATCCTTCCTAACTCAAGTATAGAAAAGGACTTTATGATGCTCTTTACCTGCAAATATCAGAAGAAAATAAGTCAAGTCTTGCAGTCTTTTGGACAAAAGGGGGAAAGGAAGCCCCATCTGCAAATAAAATGAGAAATATCATATAAATTCCCAGCTTGCGCTCAGGTTTGCACAACACACATGTAAGTGCAAAACTCAGCTGCCAGTTCACTTGTGTTCATCTATCTCATCTGGCCAATTTTCGCAACTGGATTAAGAGACACTGCAGACAGATGTTTCAGAGGAAGGCAAGAAAAACATACATCTGAAATCTTCCCAAGGCTTTTAACATTAGAGTGCAAGATCTGAAGCTTTTTAATGGTACTTTTAAAAATATTGTCTGAGTTAATTTGGAAACCACCCATTGGTTGACCTGAAGCCAAGATACAGAAAGTCATCTAAGGTTACACAGAGTCCATGGCAAAGAAGAAATCATTCCTTGGATTTAAAAAAACACAACCCACATCTTGTTGACTAGCAAGTGAGGCTGATTCCACCTCTCAGCTATCCCAGATATCAGGGAAACAGGATAATGAACAGACCAGTTCGCATGTTATTGTAATGATTAGGGGTGACAGATATTTTCTTATTTTTCTACTTCACTGCCTTGGGGGGGGGGGCAGGAGGGGAGACATCCAATGACTGGAGACATGGATCATAAAAAGTAGGCGAGATACATTCTGTCCACATAGGTAGGATCTTTTTAATAATTTAAATGAGTTTGTGCTCTCCAGATATTGTGGACCACAACTCCCATCATCTCTGGCTATTGGCCATGCTGGCTGGGGATGATGGAGGTTGTGATCCACAACACCTGAAGGTTACCACATCTACCTCTTGTTTAAATATGAGCACACATCCCAGCAAAACTGCAGTGCTTACTCTCAAAATGCTGACCAGCCTGCTCTTGCGTATGGCACTGAGCTATTGTTCAAAACTCCAAATGACAAAATGGTGAAAGGAGTGCAGAGGTATGTTGTCACTGTTTTTCTCACCAGCTGTTTAAAAATATCAAGCTTTGGTCTGCAACTCCTGAGGGCCTGAAGGAACAATCAGACTTCCCTCGGGTCCTCTCCCAGGGGATTTAAACAGCCCCCGACACCCAGCTCTTCTACGTCAGATTAACCCACCCACCCACTCCATTAATTTCATATTTCACTTAATGAATTGGCCTTGCTATGGGTGCTGCGGTCGCCATATTAGCGGGGCCAGGTAGGAATTTGTCTATCAGGCAAATTGGCTATGGCCTGGAGGTTTTGCCTACCTCATAGCAATCATCACAACTTTGGCGGTTTAGGCACTGGGTAACCTTAGTCCTGGTTGGAGGAGGGGTTGTACCCTCGCTCCCCCCCCCAAAAAAATAGGGTATCCCATTAAAGGGATCCCATTAAAGGAGTTGCTTCTGTCCATATGCCCTGACAGGGTCTTTGGGCCTCAGCAGCGATCCTTGTGGGGATCCCTCTGTTTGATGTAAGTCATAGGAATTCCCACTATTGGGTTGACCCTGATGTCATTTCTGGCAGGTGGGTCAGAAATAAATGGTTACCCATTGCCTATCCCAAGCCTCTTCATCTGTAGTCAATACAATTGTGGCCTGACTTCAACTCTTGTGTCTTTTACTGGCATTTTATTTGAGGGGAAAGTGTGGGGCCTAGGCCTGCACTTAAATAGTCACAGGATAGGAACTAAAAAGACCTGTGGTAAGAGAACTCGCAACCTCCTGGTGTGTGTTTAAGAAAAGCAAGTAAAGAGTGCTTGGAAATCATTCACTGAGCACAACTACCAATTTCAAATGGTAACACCATGCAGAATGACAGAAGGGACTGTGCTACCTTCTTACCACCCAAAGCCACCCTTATTGTAGGATATAGGGAGAGCGACAGCAATTGCTCATATCTGCAAACGTTTTCAGTCATGCTATTTAGTGGCTTGAAAATAGAGGAGGGAAATCAAATGTACACCGACAAAATTGGAGGAAAGGCTATCATGACCCAACATGCACCTACAGGAAAACAATCTACAGTAGAATAAGAAAACTTATGTCACCTGATAATGCTAGGTTAATTTATTGGTGCCAATCCAAGAACTAAGGCTGGGTAATTTAGAAACCCCAAATAGGTGGAGTTCAGCCAAGTAGAAATTTCATAAGCATTCCTAGATGACTCATTCCTATAAGTGAATGGGACTTTACTACTTCATTGAACTAGACTTGTGGGTACTTGTTTGACTGGAGCATTAACAACTCATAATTGGTGCCAACAGTAAGAACAATTACCATTCTCTAGGTCAGAAGTACTCTGAACCAATTCCAAGGGTAAGAAGTGTTCCTGTTTGTGATTGTTGAAATAAATGAGCTGCAGAGGTAGCACCAGCTTTTTTGACCACATCTAAATCTGAATATTCTCTGTGATTTCACAGCAGAGCTATGGCTGCCAGCCCCATGGCATAAGGAGCACTGTCTCCATTGACTAATAACAAACACACACTCCTTCAATTCCCACAGGCTTCCATGGCCTGCAGGGAACGCACAGCCAGTGCATCTGGCTGAAGGACAAACACAGCACACAGGAGCTCCCAAGAGATGGTGCTGCAATAAAATCTCAAAAAGTTTGTTTATTGGCACTTGTCCGCTTTTAGCTTAGTTGTCTTGTTGCTCCATTTTTCTCTATCCCTCTCCCCCACCAAGAAGACATCCTAGAGGTGAGGCATGTGGGATAAGAGGCATCACCGGGCATCTAAGGTATAAAACGTCACCAATCTCCCGTGTTCACAGTGCATTTCTGCACGTAATAGGAGAACAGCAGCAGCCAAAACAGGGAGGAAGAGACAAGCTCAAGCAAAGTAATGATTCTCTTGGCAGAGTGGCTTCTGCCCAGGAAGACCTTTCAAAGCTTTCACCCCAGACCTTGTGTACTACTTAATATTATTTGTTATATTTTTCCTACTTGCCCTGCACCAGTGAGTCTCAGGGCAGGCCACAGCACATTAGGGACTCAGCTACACAGCTACACTCAGCTAAACATTTTAAAGGTGTTGTAATGTACAATATACAAATGTGACACTAGAAGGCGACAGTGAGCTGTGGAAGATTCAATGTATTTTTAAAAGTCTTAAAATAAAGGATCTCTGCAGCATTTTTTATGTGTGTGTGGATTCCACCAAAAACACAATGCAAACAGCAGTGCAGAATACAAATTGACAAATTAAAAAAACCCTTCTGTGCTCATCAATGCGCTTGAATTGATCACCAGGGGAAGGCCCTACCAGCACTATTTTTTGTGCCCCTAAATCCAAAGTTGGAGAAGAGCGCTCCTGTGTCCGTCCCCCCCCCCCCGCCCATGGCCTTATTTTCAAGCAAACCTCTTCAGGGTGTGGAGCATCAGTTTGTCATGCACAGAACTGTGGGAACAGGCAGATCTGCTGCTCCACCTTCTATCTACAGAGATCCGCAGGGCAGCCCACAAATAACCCCATGGATATGACAATGCATTTGCAGGACAGAGTCTGTCTTTGCAAGGTGCATGACATGTAGGAATGTGCTTGGTGGCAACCTGAGACAGATCCATATTGAAGAACCATTAAGTGTACTGACAATGCAGAAGACTTGAGCTCTTATCCCTCTGGCTCAAGATTTTTAGTAAGAAATTGGTCCTAAATATCAGTAGCTTACACCTACCCACACTTACTTACCTGTGCCATTGATCATAGCACAACCTCCGGCCCAGTATGAAAGGGTGCTTTAAAAGAAAAAAAGGGGGATGATGCAGGTCAGGTGACAGAACTTCAAAGAAAGATCCATTTTGCTATACATTTTTCTATATTAATATAGGAGTCAGATTCATGCCACAGTGCCTTCTTTCTAGAAGGATTCTCTGACGCAATCCAAGGCCGGATTCAATTATGCAGTTTCCTAACCCAGAGTCTAGGGCTGCTACAGGATTCACAAGCCTGGCTTACACTGGCAGGTGTCAGCCATGTCAAGCATGGACAACCCATGTCATGCTTTAGGCACAGCTAAATGGAAAGGAGTCGTGCATGTTGGAGAGCTCAGTCAGTAGAGCATGAGATGCTTAATCTCAGGGTTGTGGGTTCGAGCCCCACATTGGACAAAAGATTTCTGCACATAAAATAATATATCTTATATAATTTATTATTTATACCTCGCCCATCTCACTGGGTTTTCCCAGCCACTCTGGGTGGCTTCCAACAGAATATTAAAATACAATAGTCTATTAAACATTAAAAGCTTCCTTAAATATATATAATATAATTTATTATTGCAGGGGGTTGGACCTGATGGCCCCCTTGGTCCCTTCCAACTCTACAGTTCTAGGATTCTATGGCCTACTCGCAAGAAGGCACATATGCATCCTCACTGCCAGAGCCTTAGCATTTGGAGGCTGTGTTTACATCTTACTTGTTAGTGAGGGAAGCCACTTCAAGGCGATTATTTCCCCATTGCCCTCTACACTACTTGCTCTTTCAAGAACTGTGAAACCAGCCTAAGTGAAACATTTAACAAAACAGAACTGCCCAAACCAGTGCAGAGATTTTAAAATTAAAATCTCATCTGTATCCCTCCCTCCAAAGAAAGAACTCAGGAACGTGTACATAGGACATTTGATTTTATATTTAAAACCATCTTGTGAGGTAGCCTATGCTGAGAAGAAGTGATCCCCTTAAAGTTAATTTTTGCACCAGAACCTTGGTGGTAGCAAGTTTTATTCTCCTCCATAGCTTCAAGGCAGGGAGGCATATGGACCCAATGACAATCATCTTGGCCCTGTATCTGCTCATAAAGCCAACAGAATATATTTAGCCCGAACAAGTGTTGTCAAACACATCTCTGCAATAGAGTAGTTTCAAGCCTAGCAATCTCCTATGTTCAATCTTTCTGCACCGAAATAACAATCTGAGAAGAACCTGCTGGATCTGGCCCAAGGTCAGCATCCTGTTTTCCCAACCAGGTGCCCATGGGAAGCCTGAAAGAAGGACTTGGGCACAACAGCACCCTCCCTGCAAGGGCCACTCAGAAGCATCCGGCCTCCAACGGTCAAGGCAGGACATAGCTTTACCCCCAATGTCCAATCCTCTTTCAAAGCCACCCAAATTGGTGGCCATCACTGCCTCCTGGGGAGGAAATTCCATATTTCAACCATGTGCTGTGTGAGAAAGTCCTTTATTCTATCCTGAATTTTCTAACAGGTGGCTGCAAAAGCATGCAGAGACACGGATGTTTGCAACAGCAACGTGAGAAAGGATCCACAGTACATGATTACTGGATCTTTTACAAAGCATTGAAAAAAAATCTATGCACATTTTTCAGATATACATTACGTTTTGTTTTTATAAGCCTCGATGAGTGCCGTCTTGCTTGTGTCATTTTTCCCATTGTGGATTCTATAAAGGCCGTCCAATGTCTCATTGTACTTGAGAGAGGAGAGAAAATACACAATTTTCAGTACAAACGGGTTTGATAATGAAGGTAAATCCCAGGGTTCTTTTCTATGTTCAAATAAATGTACACCATTCCTCATTTCATGCTTCTTAGCAATCAATTTATATCTCTTACACATTTTTGCATGCAGACATACCATTCTAAAGTATGGATTTGCCAAAACTATTTAAAATGGGTTAGACACCACCAAGAATTTGCATCTTTTAAAAATAACCCACAGTAAGATACTGAAATACTAATGTCCAATTTAAAGCCTCAGTCAACAGGATGACACAGAAATGAAAATCACTCTATTCATTTCTCAAGGGTGGGCACTAATGGAATGAGACCACCTGCTCCTTTTGCATCAGAATTAGCCAATGGGGTGGACTTTAGATGGTGCTGGACTACAATTCCCAACATGCTGGCTGAGGTTGATGGGAATTGTGGTCTGGAGTACGTGATCACTGTTTAGTCCAGCGGGGGTGGACTGAGGCAACCTGGTGGCCTGTGGAAGGACAATCCTTGCCGCTGCCCCCAGCAATGGCGGAACAAGCTCCTAAAGAGAAGGTTTGCTACTTTAAGGCTGAGAAAGAGCAAGCTCAGCCGAGGAAGACACAGCTGAGTTGTTTCACACTTCCCTTCTTCGACCCTACCCTCTCCTTTTCCCCAGCCTGGTTGTAAGATCAGATTTCTAAGGGCCTTTCCATTCTCCCCCAGCACCAAGACAAGTGGTTTATTTCCCTTTTGGGACACATACGTACAGGAAGGAATACGCCAACAACCCTTTCAACTCCTGGAAGTGGAATTTTCTTCAAGAAAGGATCTTCATAGCCCCAGAGTATTTCTTTCACAGTTCTGTTTTGAAGGAATTGGGACTTCGATGACTTCACCCAAATGTCCAACAACGCTTGTATGAAGCCACTTTGATACAAAGCAGGTGCAGCCTGAGACAAACACAAACACATATACAGTCATACCTCGGGTTGAATATGCTTCATGTTGAGCGCGTTCAAGTTGTGCTCCGTGGCAACCCGGAAGTAATGGAGTGCGTTACTTCTGGGTTTCGCCGCTCGCACATGCATAGATGCTCAAAATGACGTCACGCGCATGCGCAGAAGCGGCAAAAAGCGATGTGTGCGTGCGCAGACGTGCCGTCGCTAGTTATGTTTGCTTCTGGATGCGAACGGGGCTCTGGAACGGATCCCGTTCACATCCCGAGGTACCACTGTATTCCCTCTGACTAACCTTCTTGCATTCAGGTTGCGACCAAGATGCCTCCCCTCTTTTTTGGAGGGAGGCTGCAATAACCCAGCCAGAGACCAAGCAATGAAAACTTTTGAACATTAGTGATAGGCATTACGGTTGATTGGAATCAGAGCAGTGACATGGTTCACATTTTGGTGCACTGTCTGCTGTATTTCATTTTGGAAGGAAATCTTGAAGCATTCCCCAATGTTTTAAAAGCCCACCATGTACAAAAAGAACTAGAAACCTGCCCTAGTCTTCCAGGGAAAAAATATGTCTGGATTTTTAAACACACACACACAAATCGAAGATCCTTCCAACTTCTGATTCTACAATGAATCTAATTGCTTGACATGATTTCATGCTATTAAGTATGACAGAATATGGTGGTTGTCTACATTAGGGATATCTAATCTGTGAGAAGGAAAGAGGAAACTGAGGTTTAAGGCTCTAAGTGTGGAGCCACATGATACACAGCTTCACTGTTCTCTTCCATTTGCTACAGAATTTATTTATAGGCTGTACAGTATTATGAAAGTTGCTCATCATTCAGACAACGAAGGGCCAGGAGGAAACTTCTATGTTGGCAACTGCAAGGCCAGCTGCAAACTTATTTCTCCCAGGGTACCGTGATAGACTAAAGCAATGAAACTGGTTTCTCTAAAGAGCATATTCTTAGGGCCTCACAAAATTACAAATTCCAGGATTCTTTAAGGGGAAGCTGATAGAGTCAAGATGCAATGAAACCTATTTGTAACAGAAAGGCAGCGTCAAAACTAGGCTCATTTTCACCTGGGTCAAAAACCCAGTTTGGCTGGAAGCCTCAATGGTGCTCCTCTGGAGGCTTCATCTGGGATAGCCCCCCCCACCCCCGTAGCTACGGCTCTGCAGAAAGGTGCATAAATCCCACCTTTTCTCCAAGAATTCTAGCCAATATGATTCTCCCCACACACTCCCTTGTGTCCCCACAACAACCTGAGAGATTGGTGAGACTGAGAAATGGCAACTGGCCCAAGGCCACAAGTGAGCTTCATAGCTGAGTGGGGATTTCAGGCTTGGTCTCCCCACTCCTAATCTGATGCAGAAACCCCCACACCATCCTGGCTCTCCCAACTATAATGGAGAGCCCACAACACCTTTCATTTCTGCCCCTAAAAATAGAATGGAGCATTATAATTCCTGAAGGGATATTTCTGGTAAATATTGGAGAAGGGAGAGACAGCCAATCAATGGAGCAACTGCACCACAGTTGACAATCCAATCTTACCTACAACACTTAGCTACTACTTTCTCAGCCTCAGAAGAGAGAGAAGAAGGGAGGGGCCTATTACAGGGATGCTCAAGATTTCTGAGATAATTTCAAGCCCTTCACATAACTATATTCACCTAATCATCAATAACTATGCAGCTTTAACATCAGTTCACAAAGAAAAGTAGTCTCATTAGATCAAGATAATCACCAGATCTCTAACCTCAAATTCTAATCTGGGAAAATGAAAGTTATTCCCAGCCCTACCAGTTTTAGCAGTCAACTTTGGAAGAAATTAGCGCTACTGTGGTGCAATCAGAGGGTTTTAGAAGGGTGAAACACTCTTCCCGTATAAAGAAACAAACAATTCAAATTGATGCAAACATGCAGTGTATCGTTCTACAAATCAGGCCCCAAGGGGGTTTGGCAATGTGCTTTTCTTAAGAGCTACAGTCTCAGTAGGGCTGGATGACTCTGGAGATGCCTCACTCTGGCACTAATTGGCACCATTGTTAGTAGCCTTGTCATAGAAGCCAAGTATAGGCTGGACAAGGGATTTGCGAAAGGTTCTCTATCCCCAGCGGCCAAGGCAAAGAGGGCTCAAGCAGCAGAGTATGGCTACAATCACGCAAACTCCACACAGTGCCTTTTCTGTGGTGGAAAAAGAAAACAAAAAGACAACCACACTATTTCTTAACTGATTTAATTTTGTAGCTGGAGGACAACTTTTGTCCTCATTACTCAACCTGTGCATTTGTGAGAAAAAGGTAATCTGAAGATGAGAAAGTTTGAATGTTACATAATTAGGAAATTTGCCTGGCTTACGTACCACAACGGCAAGGTTGACTATTGTGAAAGTGTCGTTTTCTGGCCCAACTGAGAGATCAGGCTGAAAGAGAGCAATGTTTGGCTGGTAGAAAGACACTGTGGAGTCGTTATGTTGAGTGATGTTTTCTTTCTTCAAATAGCGCACCCTTAGAAATCAAAGAAGAAATTTAACTGCAAAAGCTGAATTGAAAGAATGCCGATTTAACACCAGCCAGCTGAATCACCATTTCTTCCCAGTGCCAGAGCATTCCCTCTACCCAACACACTCAACATCTTTAGGGTTCCTTTGGGTATAAGTTTTCATTGCAGTGCTTTGTACAAAATATATATATAGGTGGTATCCAACTAAGTTTTACTCAGAATAGACCCACTGAAAGTAATGAACATGACTTATTTTTATTATTGATTATTGGTTAATTTCAATGAGTCTGCTCTGAGTTAAACTTAGTTGAATACCACCTTATGACAACACAGACATCACCTCCAAAAAGTGCTCCTATGCTTTATTTTTATTCTTACCCCGTTACTGTAAAGAACCTTTGTTACAAGTGGGGAGCAGCAGGCAGTGAGAAAATAAAGCCGAGCAATGCATATTTAAGGCCACATTAAATTTGCCCTCATAATGAGTTTTATATAGTAATCCTGAACACGTATCTGTGCATAAATCCAGCTCAAGTCAATACTTTCAGAAGAGTTCCCCCAAAAATTTTTTACATAAGAGCCGAAGAGCCTGCTGGATCAGGCCAGTGGCTCATCTAGGCCAGCATTCTGCACTCACAGGAGCCAACCAGGTGTCTGTGGGATACCAGGGAGCAGAACATGAGCACAAGAGCCCTCTGCCCTCCTGTCGTTTCCAGCAACTGGTACTCAACAGCATTGCTGCAGAGCTCAGGCATCTTGGCTAATAGCCATCAATAGTCCTCTCCTCCAGGAATTTGCCTAATCCTCTTTCAAAGCCATCCAAGTTGGTGGCCATCACTGCCTCCTGGGGGAGCAGGGTCCATAATTTATGTGTTGTGGGAAGAAGTCCTTTCTTTTACCTATTCTAAGTCATAGGTTGGGTGCAGGGTTTTTGTTGTTCTGGGGTGGTCGAGGGGTGCTACACTTGTTTTACTTTACAAATCATCTCTTCAGTGACCTGAACTGTTCAGCCGTCCCACCCACGTGCACTTCCTGCAACCTCCCCAGTGACATCAGCCAGTCTGTCCCATAAGCAGGGGAAGGCAGAGGTGCCAGCTACTGTGCACTTGACTGCTGGGCTTCGTTATTATTGTTATTATTCTTTTTAAAGTGAAGATGAAGGTTTGTTCTCCTTCAAAACAAAGATGAAAATAGTGCAATGGAGGTTGGTGGCCAAACTCAGTTTCCCCAACTAAAGCTCAGGGAAGGCAACAAAAAGTAGTTCCTCTCATGGAGATTAAAAATAAATAAATCAGGAAATGAAGGCTGCTTGGGAGTCTGAATGAGTGTTTAATAGAAAGATAGCCACCTCACAAAGACAGGGTAAACTCAGTCCTGAACCCAGCAAGACTACCGTATTTTTCGCTCCATAAGACGCACCAGACCATAAGGCGCACCTAGTTTTGAGAGGAGGAAAACAAGAAAAAAAATATTCTGAATCCCAGAAGCCAGAATAGCAAGAGGGGTCTGGCTTCTGGGATAGCCTCTGGCTGTTCTGGCTTCTGGGATAGTGGCGCCAAGCCTCTCCCGGGTAGCAGGATGAAGGCTCCCCTTGCCCGGAAGAGGCTGTGCGTGGCTAAGGCAGAAGCCAGGACAGGTGCTTCGCTGAAGGGGCGCTGCACAGCTCTCCCTCTCTGTGCAGCGCCATTCACTCCATAAGATGCACTCACATTTCCCCTTACTTTTTAGGACGAAAAATGTGTCTTATGGAGCGAGAAATACGGTATTAGGAAAAACACAGGGGGTGGGAGGGGTGACTCATTTTTCACAGAAGACTTTTGTGTAATTGGAGAAGAGGTTTTTGGCACAACACTAGAACCAGCAGATTTGGAATAATCAGGTCTGCCCACCAACCCACCCTCAAAAAAGAACAGAAGGAGACACACATTTAACACAAAAAACCTTGCCTACCTGTAAGTGTAAGGCCCTTTCTGCTTGAGTATTGGATGCGATCCATTTTCCATTACTTCTTTTGGGTTTTGCACATCAAAGAACCAAAATTGCCTATAGACTGGACTCCCGGGTACAAGCCAGTTCTCATATGCAATTGTACCATTTTCAATGACTGTTTCCTGGAAGAAGAAAAGAACAAGGAGAAAAGGAGGAGTGTTGTGTGCTGTGCTCCCTCCAATCAGGCTAATACAGTAGTGTGAACCTTCATACATTTCAACCTGATGTAAAAAAAAGTTACTTTTTTTAAACAAAAAAAGGACACAAGAATTGGAAAATACATTATAAAAGTAGATTATAATTGCTCAAACTAATAATTGATTAATACATCTTAGGAAACATTTTAACTAAGTGCTCCATTTATCAGTGCAGATTTAAACTCTGTTCCTTTTGATTCCAGGTCAATATGTAGGTGTGAGAAGGGAAGAAAGGGCAGGGGGAGCTTCTAGTGAAGTCAAGAGAAACTATTTCAACTACTGTACTGCATTAAGGAATAGTGGCCTTAAAATTATCTTATTTGACAAGCAGTAGGAGTTGTGGTGGTTCTAGCAAGATTCTCCTTCAACATTCCCTAAAATAGTGCTCATCAATTATAAATAGCTGTTCTAGGACTGGTCTTTCCCAAATCAGAGAAACACACTTTGTCAGGATAATCCTGCAAGTTAAGAGAATAATAAGAATTACTGAAGACTCTGAACTAGTAATGTACAGATAGTGATACAAAATCTTATTTGAAGAAAAGAAAGTGAAAACTTAAATCCACGATTTTCGAAGTAGACTTTAGCACATTGCCTGAAAGTTAATTAGACCTAATTTCTAAATTAGAAGAAGAAAATAGCAGATCAGAATCTTCTGTGCAGACAGAAGGGCTAATACAAACAACCCCCCAAGGTTTTGGCCTTAGCATTTTTAAAGTGATATTAAATACATAACTTTGGCGATACTCATCTTGCCTCTTGGCTTCACTACTCAAGTGACAACTGAAGCGTGGAGATAGAATAAACTATCATTAATTCTATAATTTATTCATTTTAACAACTGAAGCAGTTCATTCACTTTCATTTCCCATTTAATTCAATGGACACCCCACCAATCTTCTGTCACTTATAACTTTTGTATTTTAGATCCCATGAAATTCGGGTCAAACTATTACCCTTCCGAAGGATCAAACCTGCAAAATTTCAGTCCTATTTTATATCTATTCACCTCTCCCCCTCCTGACACCATCTTTTCTGACCTGTATATAGCTGGTTTCATTTCTTCATCCCAATAGAAAAATCGGTTTCCATTCAGAAATCATTTGTCTGAACTACCTTTTTTTTTTTAAAGCAACAGGAAATGAAGACAGAGTGGAAAAAAGGAAGGATTTTCACATGTCTTTTCAAAGTTTGCAAAAGAGCAACTTTTGAGCAAGTCCTCACAAGGCTCCTGTGGGAAATTGCTTCATCTTTTTGCCAAGGACTTAACCTTCACTCCAAAATATGCAACCAAGGATTGTGTCTGTACAGCAGGCATACACTGCACTGAGCTGAACATCAGCTATTCAGGGTCAGACAATGCACTTTGTGTGCGTTTCCCAATGCTGTCAAAACCTGCTAAGCAAATGCCACAACTCCATCGAATGCTGGAACCACTGCACTTCAGAGTTCATAGTCCCTTTACAGACAGCCAGACAGAAAGGAAATGTAAGATGCATTGGGGGGGGGGAAGGTAGCAGAACTTGATAGAGAAGGCAACCCATTTTTGTTATTTAAAAAGCTTTGTCACAGGATCTGCCTGAAGTGCTCCAGAAGGCAAAATCCTGATGGCAATAGACTTGCTTGTTCATGTACTCTCTTACAAACTCGTGTCACCCTGACTCAACATTTGCAGCTTTTCAACCCTGAGCAGGTCCCAAGAGGCCAGGGATTATGTGGAGCACTGAGAAAGAGGAGGAGGAGTTGAAATGAAAAGTCGGGAATCTACTGGGGAAAGGTCAACATGCTTTGTCTGGGACTTTGGATAAGGCCTTCAGAGGGAAAAAGGCCATCTTTACATGACCTATGAGACACAAACATACAGAAAGTTCACTGGCACTAACTGCGGCTAAACAGCTGACAGCCGTTTTCTCCTATTGCTCATCCCATGTTAAGAGGTACAGTTAATTCCTTGAGCGGGAAGTCAGGCTGTTTGGTAAACACATCTGGCAGCCTGATTTGGGCCACAACTGGAAGGGATGGAGCAACAGTCACCCCGATGAAAATTCAACATTCAGAACCAGCCTATAGCAAAGGCCTCCTTGCCCTTTCCAGAACAACCCTTAATCTCTACAAACAGATTAAAAGGGTGTTAACAGCATCAACATGAAGCAATAAAAAGCCAGGGTGCACATGCTAGCACTTGCCATTCCGATCATATCCCTGAAATATACATCAAAGAAAATGCTCCCCACTCCCCTGCCCTGTGAGGTTGGACAGGAAATTCAAGCCTTCAGTCATTTTATTTAGAGAATTCTGTGACGGTATTCCTGAGACGCAGGTCTCCCACTTCAAGGTGCAGGTGGGACCTCAGGTTTTCCCTATGATCCACACAGAGAAAAGCAGCCTGTTAGGAAGAACAACTTTCTCCTAGAGCTTTTTCCTATGAAAAAGGCGTCTAGATTTGCATGGGAAAACCTGCAATAAGAAGCATCTCAATTACACCATGCACCCTCAGTGAGAATTTATATTATATCCTTATCAAATTACTTTTCCTCTTCTAGAACTTGGGGACATCCAATGAAGCTGAATTCAATTTTTTAAAAAACATAGTGACTATTCTGCTTCATCTCCTGGCTTATGTAAACAAAAGCTGGGACTAGTCCTAAACTGGCCTACCAGGGAAGGAAACACATTTCAAGATGCAGAGGAAGTCAAGAGGAAGACCAGCCTAGAGAGACCCACCTTCTCAAAGCACTCTTTGTGTCAACCGTCCACTGATGTTGCACAGTGTGTCATTCCTATCCTACAGAGAGACATCATCTTTTCCTTAGCGGTCAACTCAGAAGCCTTGTTGGAGTCAGAGAACTCGGGGTGGGTGTGCAAGGCAAGTCAGAAACCAAGCAAGAGGGAGGAAGCACCCAAGATACAAGGGAACATTCCATCCGTGAATGTGGAACCAGGGAACCTGCCTTATATAGAGCCAGACCAATGGATGAGTCAGTGTTTCCTGCACTGACTGGCAGCAGCTCTCTGAGGTATCAGACAGGAGGCTTACTCAGTCTGACCCAGAGACCTTCTGCACTCCAGCACTGAGGGTTGGCCTTTGACTGAGTTGGTCAAGTTAGCAACATCCTTATTAATTCTGAACACTCTTAAAGCAGGATAAATATAAAGGCTGGATCACATTCAATGCATCACATTGTGTGTGTGTGTGTGTGTGTGTGTGTGTGTGTGTGTGTGTATCTGCACATACACATGCAGCTCCTGTGTATCCTATTTTTCCTCTTTTTTCTTGAAACTGTGAAACTGTGGCAGAGGTAAGTGGGCGAGAGAGACTATTGTGTTCTTGCAATTCCTGGCAAAAGGGCTTTGCATATTCTGCAAGACCAAGCATTTTTATGTGGGAAGAAAAAAATAGTAAAACAAAATTGTTACTTTCTACTTGGAAGTTACTTATATGCCATTTTAAAATAACCTGCTGGTAGTGATGGCTATTGCCTGAAACACTTTGAGGCTTGCATTCCTGTGGCTACGCTAAATGTTGTCAGTCTCTCATATGCAATAGAAATCTCAAAGAGAAATAAACTAGGATTGTTAGGCTAAACCTGGGATGGGGAACTTGTGACCCTCCAGGTTTTGTTGAACTTTCCATCAGACCCAGCCAGCAAGCCCAGTGGTCAGGGATGAGGGGAGCTGCAGTGCAGAACACCCAGAGGGCAACAGCTTCCCCTTCCCTGAGCCAAAATGGCACCCAGTGCCAGAAAGAGGGCTTGTTCTAAAATCACCGTATTTTTCGCTCTATAAGACGCACCAGACCATAAGACGCACCTAGTTTTTGGAGGAGGAAAACAAGGGGAAAAAATACTCTGAATCCCAGAAGCCAGAGCAGCAAAAGGGATCGCTGTGCAGTGAAAGCAGCAATCCCTCTTGCTGTTCTGGCTTCTGGGATAGCTGCACAGTCTGCATTCGCTCCACAAGACGCACACACATTTCCCATTACTTTTTAGGAGGGAAAAAGTGAGTCTTATAGAGTAAAAAATACGGTAATTTAGATGAGCATTCTGGGTGCCTTCCTTATTTACTCAGCACTGCCAGAAGCAACTCCAGTTCACTGTACATCTAGTTATTGACCTACACATGAGTTTTTTTAGTCTGTAGGGGAAATCCTACTGCAGCAGTCAAAAGTGGGGGATGGGTGAGAAAATTTATTTGGTTCACATTCAAATGTAGATCTATCAAATTTGCACTTGCCAAAACCATATGAAAACTGCCATCTTTCAAAATTTGCACTTACAAGTTTTGCAGTGCAGCTCCCCAACCACATAATATTTACAAAAATGCATATTTTAAGGGAAAGTGTGCAAATGTAAAAGTGAAAGTAATAGTATACAAAAATGCATTATATATTTGGGGGAATGTGTACGTTAGTCAAAATTGCATGCAAAAATGTGTTGATTAGGAGAAATTTATACTAAAATGCTGGCAAATTTCCCAGATTGTTTTCTATTTTTTAAAAGTTGGCAATTGTTCAACCATGTTCACTTGGTGTATTTCCACAACGCACGTAGCCATTCTTCACAGGTGAGGAGTCAGATATGTTCCAAAATGTTTCTGAAGATCTTTTAACATTGCCAAAAATTCCCTCCAGTTTTCAACAGTGTCTTGATACTCCTTGCAAAAATGTACATTTAACCTATAACTGATTGTTGCTCCGCAAAAGTTGCTTTTGTAAAATGAACTATATTACTATGTGAAACAGCAGCAAAGTTGTGCACGGTGCTCAAAGGCTCCTACAGCAATCCTGTCATGCCGCAAATGAAGCAAGCCAGAGTCTGGCTTGTTGTGTCATCTGAATTTGGGCTCATGATTGGTAAGTCAAGAACAAACCTTGGCTACTGCTCACAGTTTGGAGAGAAATGAGCCAAGAGCCCAGATTCAGTCTGTGGCTTCTTTCATCTGCAACATTGCAGCAGCAAGTGTAAAGGAGAAGCACTGCAAGAACTCCACATTAAACTGTGGCTTGTTTTAAGCTAGTTTAATGTGACAGTTGTTCTGGGCTGCATAGTAGCACTTGACTCAGTGCCAGACAGATGTATGCAAGACTTCTCAGAGGTCCAGAGAGGCCCAGGCCACTTCCAGTCCTTAAGGTCCCTTGCCACAATAAAAATAAGAAACAATGACTCAGGACTTTACTGTAATTTTACTGATGTTAGCCACCCTGAGCCTGGCTCTGGCCAGGGAGGGCGGGGTATAAATAAAATTGATGATGATGATGATGAATGAAGACAGAATAAAACTGCAAAAAAAAGACTGGGAGACATACTAGCTAAGAGAATAATTATGCCTTCTACCAAATCACATCTCTTATTTGCTATAATTTGCAGCTCAAAGCTGAGAGACCGTGTCACATTTTGGTCCAATGCACATAAAAACAAGTCGCAAAACTGATCAAATGCCAAAACATTAACAAGTGTCTACATTTGAGGTCCACTTTTGAGCTTGAGGCCCTGGTCAATTGGCCCTCCTGCCGGCCACTCTCCCTGAATTGGACCTGGATCTAAACCACAGAGCCTAGGGCTTGCCGATCAGAAGGTCGCGGTTTGAATCCCCGCGACGGGGTGAGCTCCCGTTGCTCGGTCCCTGCAGTTTGAAAGCACGTCAAAGTGCAAGTAGATAAATAGGTACCGCTCCAGCGGGAAGGTAAACGGCATTTCTGTGCGCTGCTCTGGTTTTGCCAGAAGCGGCTTAGTTCTGCTGTCCACATGACCCGGAAACTGTACACTGGCTCCCTCGGCCAATAAAGCGAGATGAGCGCCGCAACCCCAGAATTGGTCACGACTGGACCTAACGGTCAGGGGTCCCTTTACCTTTACACACCCCTAACAGAAGCAAATATGGAGATGAAATGGAGGAAGAAGTGGGGAATCACCCACAATTCCATTATATAGAACTACACATGCCATCGTATTTCTTGGATCAGGAGTCTGATGCAGTACACTCATGAGCTGCTTTTTCTCACTTTTGTAGAACAGAGATGAGTTAACTGTTACAAGTTTTGGTAGGGGCATCTGAACTACATCCCCCCCCCCCCCCGTTAAACTGAGTAACCCAAGTCAGTTACGCAACACAAGTCGTTATCTCAGAATAGCTTGCAGTCATTTTATTTATCTAGCCAAGGGCAAAGTCAGGCCACTTTTCAAATCAGTAGATAGCAGTGTGCAGAATAAGTTTTCATGAAGAACTGCATTCTTTGCAAAACAAAAACCTCACCAGATGCTGCCTATCAGATATGAAAATCAAGAAACTGACCCGAGAGTGCTATGGATAATATTGCTTGTTCTGTCTTGCTTCCTTTAGATTGTGACACTTAAACATGAGTGTCAGTGTAGTGACTAAAGGGCTTGGGCCGTGTTGTCCCTGGTAATCCGTAAAGCTAGTCAATCTTCAGCAAGCCACTATTTAAAGATCAGAAGGGGAGGCCAAAACTGATAAAATAGCACCACACATTGCAATACTATTGGTATGCCTTCCAGTAGTGCTAAAGAATTATCTAGACTGACAATAAAAATTTGGCTACTTGGCTGCTCATTCTGGAGTAAGCAATTCAAGGAAATATGACAAAAATGCCACATTAAAAAGCCCCTTTTGCCAACCCATTTCTAAACGAGAACACAGGAACTCCATCCATCTAGTTTAAAACCTTTGTGCCAATTCCACTTAGCAATCTCCTTCCCTACTTCCAAAACCCCAAACAAGCCCGTTTCAGTTTCCTTTACATTTTCTTGCCACCAGCCACCGAAACCTAAGCTGGTTAAAGAAAATTACCCCTTACTGGGAAGCTTAATTGCAGTTCAGCCTCTTAAATAATAGAGATATGGGCACACCTTAGTTTCTTGGATGATACTCTATACACACCTGGACATTTCAGGTTGCCCTGGAGTCCTACGCTTTAATTTGAAGCTTCTGTTCAGAACTACCAGCCTGCTATATTGCATTTGTTTAAACACAGTCAAGTATTGCAAAGTCTCGGAGGACAGTGTTGCTTCCAGAGTTTCCCCAACACAGATTCTCAGAACAAGGATGAAGGCTGGACATTGAACACTTTAATGCAGTGGTTTTCAACCCATGTACCTTGGCACCCTGGGGTGCCTTGAAGGTTGGTCAGGAGTGCCACAGGCAATACTGTCCCCTGTCCCTCTTTCCTTCCCTCCCTTCTCCAATGCCCTCTTGCGTCTCTGCCTCCCAAAGGCTTGCACAGCAACCCTGGCTATAAGCTCAGCAGGCAATTGGTGCCTCTGGGAGGTGCCTCTCTTTAGGGTGGGGGGGTGAAGCTCAGAGACCAGGGATGAAAGCAGGAGCTGCCCGAAGGACTCCCAAGGAGAAGGGAGAGGAGGCTGAGAGAACATCCCACAAGGAAGGGTGTTTGAGAACGGGTGAGAGGCTGCCAGCTCTGCAGGCAAGGGGTGACACAACTGGGCTCCTGAGCCCCACAGGGCTGCCACAGAAATAATGCAGTTGGTCAAGGGAGCCGTGGACTCAAAGGTTGAAAACCTCTGCTTTAATGTATGCAGCTCTATCACCATGTGTGATGCTTTACAGAACATACAAATGCAAAGAGCCCAATTCCTGCTCTGCTTACAATCTATATTTAGACATTACAAGCTTACAATCTATATTTAGACATTTCCAAGATGGCGCAGGACATCTAAGCAGAAATCACACAGGTAGATGAAGATGGGGGACTGGGTGGAAGGGGAGGTGGGGGCAGAAAATCTGACACATTAGCAAAGCTGTGTTTCATCGGCACACAAAAATCACAGGAAACAAGAATAGTACAGTGGAGCCACAGATGACTTAAGGAAGTTCTATGCTGAACAGACCTCAGCTTCCTTTGGTAGAAAAGCTGATGTCCTACAAATAGTTCAAAGATTTCCCCTAAAAATACTGGGCAGAATTCAACAAGTCCCATCAGGGGAAGCCCTGTGCAATGGCATCTGCTTGAGCAATGGGGTTTCCTCCTCTCCTCACACCATGTCCTGCTGTGTCCCTGAAATTGACTTGGGGGGTTGGGGAACCCCCGGAACAGAACACAATCGGAGGAAAGCTGGGATAGTTCCATCTGACAAGCAAAAATGCTTACCTTGGCAGAAAGAGCACCTTAGGACAAAGTTGAATTCTTCCCTTTGAACTTTTTTAAAAAACAAAACAAAACCCAAAGTAATTTAAATTGCAAATACAAGAAAGCCCCAGTAGAACACAATTTCATCAGTTTTTGGGCAACACTTCAAAAGTATTGACTGAGTGACTGTTCAAGAGCACAAACACAATCAGCCAAGAGATCTGTACAATGCTGCCAATCCACTTCTGAGTCCTAACACCGAAAGACTGCTCTTCATGTGGGTCACAGTAAATATTTTAAAATGTGCTCTTTGTGGGTGTGTTCAGGTTCTAAGGTCTACTTTTTTCCAAGCACTGTGGCTCCCTGCTCATACCAACTCTATTTCCCACATGCAGTACCAAACATTTTATATGGAACCCCAGTATCTGTATGTGGAAGAGATATAATGCAGTTTTTGGATTGGCAATGGTATACATCTTAAATGGATGATTCCAGACCCCATAAGCACCACTGTCATATTACAGAGGTCCAACTGGCCTCAACTAGAAGTCAGGTGTTTAGTGTCGCTGGTCAGGATCAGCCTGGCAGGTCAACTTTGACATGTGGGAGGGATCACCCACCTGTCAGTCATGTGATATCATCATTGTGTGGCAAGATTGGCATGTGGATGGGACCCTCACCACAGCACTTGGGGAAGACTGTTACTTGCAAAAGCAGTTCTTTTTCTACTTTCCTGGGGAGCTACATGCAGTAAAACTGAGCAGAACTTAACCCTTTTTCAATACATGCCTCCTAGGGAAAGGAGAACGATAAACCCTTCTGCACAGTCCAACCTCCCCAAAACAGTTCTAAGGAGATGGTACTTCTCCTTTCTGCAATGATGTCTGCTTGCTTTCACCAGTCGCCCCTTCCCAGAGATCAGGTGCATGCAGTTAAAAGCAAGCAGACCGGGGGGGGGGGGAGGTTTGCTGCTTCCTTTGGCTGTGTACATTTTTCCCAAAGATGGCTTGGCCAAATTATGCAGGGCTAAACCATCACCTGTAGACTGCTAAGCTGTTTAAATTTTGCTGGGATCAGACACCCACAACAGTGCAGAATTGAGCCCCACATTCCCACCCACCAGCTGATATCACAAGTGATGTCAACTGATTGACAGGTGTGCATGGTTTGGGTGAAATGACCTCACAAGCCATATTGGATCCCAGGGGGGTGGGGGCGAGACTGATCCATGGCTCCCCTCCCCCTGCTTTAATCGACTGTGCATAAGTCATTCTGGGAGCCTTCTTGGCTAAAAAGCAGGCAGCAAATGCTCTAAACAATATTAAAAACAGGTAAACATAAAATATCATGTGGATGCTTCAAAGAAACTTTAATGCTTGAAGAACACTAATCCCACAACATCCACCCTCTGGGAGCACCCGGTGTGTTTCAACAACAAAAAACATTAAGCAAGTAACTAACCTGCTGAGTAAAGCTTCCTGGGAAGTGTTCTAGGAAACATATAGTTCATATGGAGATCTGGCCAAGCTTGTTGGGCGTAACGATCACTTTGCATGAACTGAGAATGCATCCCAGAATCCTCCTCCTCCTCCTCTTCCTCCTCTGAAAAGACTAGTAATTATAGGCAAACCCCTTTGATATTGTCATTGGAGGAACTCCAAGCAGTTTAGAGTAAGCCCAGGGTTTTTTTAAACCCATTTTTTAAAAGCCCATTTGGAAACCACTGTTCAAAGAAATGTATTTCATATCAGGAAGGCAAACATACTTCAGTAGCAACAATATTCTAGCCTCCAGCCTGAATTTAGCTTTCTAAAATTTTAGGATGCCTCAATGCTTTAAAAAAAATATCCATGACATTGGAACTCATTTTGCTCTAAGAGCAAAAAGAGTAATTGAAATCAAAAGTTATTTATTGGAAAAACACTTTAGTAATAATTCTGCCGCAGCTAATATTGAGCAAAAACCCATTTTATATAGTATCCCACCAGCTGATTCCATCTTCTCAGAGTGAAACCCATTTTATCTGTATTTAAAGTCAAGTTCCCTAGCTTTTATGACAGTGTTGGAACCAACCACGGAGTATTGTGCCATAAAGATTAGCTACCGATAAAAAGGTAAGTGTTATGAAATGTTGGCTCTTGAACAAGATACCAGAGAAATTCAGCACACAGCAGTACATAAACATGCACTTTACAGTGGGGTTTTTTGGGGGGGGAGGGGATAGTTTTTAAATTGACTATAAACTCCACCCCCTAAGATCTCACATGGCTTGTAACCGGGTTTCAGAAATTTCAAGCAAACCACTTTTCAAATGTCATCTACGGCGCCATAGGTGCCAGCTCCCTGGGGCTCTGGATGCCTAAGCACCCACAAATTTCAGGGCCAGGGCCATGCATGCTGCACGGCAGCCACAGCCCAGGGCACCTACCGTTGCAGGGTGAAGCTGGCACTCCTGTACAGTGCCGATAAAATGGGTCAATGCAGGCAGGCAGAAGAAAATGAAAACTAGCAGATCCCAGATTCAAATAAAGCTTCCGTTCTGTCAGTGTCTTTAGCAACATGGAATAATGCTTTATAAGGCTGTTAAATGATGATTGAGAAAGCATGTTGCTGTTGGCAACTAATATATATTTAAACACTCCATGTGATATCTAGCTGAAACCATCCACCAGCAGAATGGACTTCACCTGGTGAAAGAGGACTCTCCTTCCTCTCTTCCCCATTGAAGCCCCTTGTGTCCTTCTAAAATCAGCTCTGTAGGGGTAGCAGACCCTCCAGAAAAGGTTATGGAAAAGATAGGAAGGCAAGTCTCATTGCACAAGTGGACTTTCACTTACAGCATTCAATGATCACCCCAAGTATTCAGTGTTTGAAGAAAGTAGCTGTATGCTCACAGATTTGAGATGTATATTATTAGTGGGGGGGTGTCAAATTAACTTTCTCAATAACGTGCTCTTGTTAACATACAATTGAATGGTCAAAGGCCTGGAAACGATGCCTTATGAGGAACAGCTAAGGGAGCTGGGCATGTTTAGCCTGGAGAAGAGGAGGTTAAGGGGTGATATGATAGCCATGTTCAAATATATAAAAGGATGTCACATAGAGGAGGGAGAAAGGTTGTTTTCTGCTGCTCCAGAGAAGCGGACACGGAGCAATGGATCCAAACTACAAGAAAGAAGATTCCACCTAAAGATTAGGAAGAACTTCCTGACAGTAAGAGCTGTTCGACAGTGGAATTTGCTGCCAAGGAGTGTGGTGGAGTCTCCTTCTTTGGAGGTCTTTAAGCAGAGGCTTGACAACCATATGTCAGGAGTGCTCTGATGGTGTTTCCTGCTTGGCAGGGGGTTGGACTCGATGGCCCAACTCTATGATTCTATGAATGTTAGGCTGTAGTGTGTACAGTGAACATCTAAACTCTAGTGAACACTGAAATTCACATGTGAATAAACGCCAACAATCCCAAATGAATTTCTCCAAGGGCCAAAAATAAAACAAATTCCTCAGTTTGATCTGCACTGATCTGGTGCCAACCAGAATTCAATGAGAGTCAACATTTATCATGGTGTTCAAGTTTCTGAACATAAGCAGAGATTGTCAGGGTTGACATATGCATGCCAACATTCAGTGTGGGGGTGGGGGGTTAGGAATATGCCCCAGGTTCCAGTGCCCAGAAGAAAGTTGTGTGGAAAGTTTCGTCTTGTCAGCCTGAAACTTCAAATTTCATTAAATGCATTCCAAATTCATACCAAAGAGCATGGAATGGGATATTAAAGTTTTGATTTTCCGAGCTGAATTTTCTCAGAAGTCATTTTTATATTATTTTCTTTCACCCTCCTCAAGAAAAAGGGCCACTTCTCACTGTTTCCACATGCCACAAAATGCCCCAGAATGACACTACATGGTGGGCTCCACTTGCAAGGAACTGTTGAATTTCTCCTCTATCTGGATAGATTTGGTAAAATGGTCTCCCAACCCTCTACCCTCTACCCTATCCACGAATAGAGTGCTGAAGTCATTTAAAAGGAAGCAAGTAATTGCAATTCAGTATTCTCTCCCTCCCTCCCTCCCTCCCTCATTCACAGGTGTAGATTGATTTGGGAAAGTTCCTTTATCTGAATATCACAAGTTACATTGGCTGTCATTACAGGACACCGCCCCCCCCAAAAAAAAACCCCATCGCTGGATCGGAAAGATGAGAGGACTTCAAGCTGGAAAGCCAAAGTCCACAAGCTAAAGCAGAATGCATAACAAGGGCATAGAATTGGGACACTGTGCATGCATCTCAATCCTGGAACTCATTTTTAGTATTGGAACAGGGTTTACTCTTTTCACACATAAACCCACGTTTGTTTTAGGTGTGTTTGGGGGATGGCACTGTAATAAGGAGACCAAGGAGGGCATTAAAACAATAGCAAAAAGTACAGGATTTATAGAAGCTCATTACCTTTTTTACTGTCTTCTCAACAAAATAGTTTCCAAGTGGTATCAAGGCACCTCCAAGGATGGCTAGAATTGCTCCAATGACTGCTCCACTCAGCAAACCACAGTTCAGCAAACCGCCCATCCTTCTGGTCTGCAATTTCTTCCACCTCTGGGAGCTCTTACAACTTTGTCGTCCAGGAACACATGCACCCCTCTTGGCAGCAGCAGCCTCTAACACAGCAAGTTCCTAAATGAGCTTTCAAAAGAGATCAAAGTACAAAGTACAGTATGAGCAACAGCTGGAGATATCACCCAACACACTCACATCAATCTAACCATTAAAAAAAATTGTTGCACACACACACTTAATCGTTTTCTTGCAGGTTGTAGCAGAGAATTCAGTTCTGCACCCTTTCGCTTGTATTATTACATTTCGCAACACAGAAAAGTAAGTACTCAAGCACAGCAAATACTCATGCATACTCATGTGCCGATTGTTGACTACTTAGTACTAAGCCCTCTCTCCACACAGTAAATTCTGTACCCAAAACTGGAGCAAGAAGCGTCAGAAAAATGGATCAAAAGATTGGTCTTAGGGGGGGCAAGTTCACCTGTGGTCACTCAACACTCAACCTGCGGCTGAACATGGGGGACCAACAACACTGAAAAGGCACCGTGCTTAATAAAGCATTTAAAGCTCCAGTTTGAACTATGGTATTATAACCTGCACACACAATTGCTGCATTCTTCAGCAGGTCTGTATTAATTATTTATTAAATTTATACATGGTGCTGGAGGAGACTCTTGAGAATCCCTTGGACTGCAAGAAGATCAAACCTATCCATTCTGAAGGAAATCAGCCCTGAGTGCTCACTGGAAGGACAGATCCTGAAGCTGAGGCTCCAATACTTTGGCCACCTCATGAGAAGAGATGACTCCCTGGAAATGACCCTGATGTTGGGAAAGATGGAGGGCACAAGGAGAAGGGGATGACAGAGGACGAGATGGTTGGACAGTGTTCTCAAAGCTACCAGCATGAGTTTGACCAAACTGCAGAAGGCAGTGGAAGACAGGAGTGCCTGGCGTGCTCTGGTCCATGGGGTCACGAAGAGTCGGACACGACTAAACAACAACAACAAATTTATACACAGCCATTCATCCAAGGACCACAGTATAAAGAAATACATAATACAATAACAAACAAAGCAATACCCAACAATAAAAATATGGTTTAAAACACCATATATTGTTGAATAAGCCTGGTAGGCGAGGAATGTTTTTGCCTGGTGCCTAAAGATATGTCACAAAGGCACTAGGTGAGCCTCCCTGGGGAGAGGATCCCAGAAGCAGGGAGCCATTGCAGAAAAGGCCCATTCTCTTGTTGCCCCCCCCCCCGGACATCTCCTGGAAAGAGCACACTAAGAAGGGCCTCAGATTATGAGTTCAGGGTCTCGGTCAGTTCATACGGGAACACACAGAAGCAGATATCTGCATGCTAATTTTCAAGATTACAGTTGAGAGTTTTTTCCACAGGTGTAACGTTGCTTCCTAGCAAGAACGGAGCACCAAAATGTCTGCTGCAGAGTCAGAGGAGTTAAAATCTATTTTTAAAGTTAATTTCAAGATTCAAATGCCGCACTGGAGATTATGATTATATACACTCCAAACTGTACTTGTGTAGCTTGAGATGCAGGGACATAATTCTACAAAGATGTTTATGACAGAATCATAGAAACATAGAATTATAGAGTTGGAAGGGACCCTGAGGGTTATGCAGTGCAAGCCCCTGCAATGCAGGAATCTCAATTAAAACATCCATGGCAGATGGCCATCCGACCTCTGCTTAAAAACCTCCAAGGAAAGAGTCCACCACCTCTTATGGGAGTCAGCTCCACTGTCAAACAGGTCTTACTGTCAGAAACTTATTCCTGATGTTTAGTCAGAATTTCCATTCTTGTAACTTGATGCCACTGGTTCTGTTCCTAGTCTCCAGAGCAGCAGGAAACAAGCTTGCTCCATCTTCCATGTGATAGCCCTTGAGATATTTGACGTTGGCTATCATATCTCCTCTCAGTCTCCTCTTTTCCAGGCTAAACATGCCCGGCTCCTTCAACTGTTCCTTATAAGGCTTGGTTTCCAGACCCTTGATCATCTTGGTTGCCCTTCTCTGCACACATCCTTCTTAAATTGTGGTGCCCAGAATTGGGCACAGTATTTCAGGTGTGGTCTGACCAGGGCAGAAAAAAGTGGTACTATTACTTTCCTTGATCTGGACACTATACTTCTGTTAATACAGCCTGGAATAGAATTAGCTTTTTTGCTGCTGCTGCATCACACTGATGACTCATGTTCAGCTTGTGGTCCACTAAGACTTCTAGACCCTTTTCACATATACTACAGGCAGGCCAGGTGCCCTCTCTGTGCCACACCCTTTGTTACCTTAATGACTAGATGCTGGATTTAGAAGGCAGTCTCAGGCATGCAGCCTAACCACTCTCCTAAACTCAAAACAGCAGTGGCAGACTGTGGGGGTCTCAAATTTCAGCAGCGCCCTATGTGGTGCCAAAATTTGGGGGCCCCGCTTGCCTCTCACCTTCCTTTCTACATCATAGTTGTAGCACCCCCTGTGGCACCCCAAAGTTCCATGCCCAGTGCAATCAAACCACTGATGACAGCGTAGTGCAGACGGGACCCCAGCTGCATCCAGCAATTCCAAACACAGGCAACAGACAAGTCACTCTAAGGACCACTTGTGAAGTGGTGATATGGAGAAAGGAGAGGACCTCCATGCAGTCACCCAAACATGTGAATGAAGTGTTTATCCAGTTGCACAGTGGGTGAACCCACAGTTATATGTGCGCAAGGCCCCCGTTGGATCATCATGTAAAAGTTAGGTACAGCAGGTGTGATCTCAGTTCTCCTCCTTATAAGTGCACACCTAATAATAACTACTTATTGGGGTCCATGCTGTGAGATGCTTAAGCAGCAATTTGATAGATTAGGGAAAGAAGTCTCTATCCGCTGTTCATTTTTTAAAAAAAGTCATCCTGACTTCAGGAGAAGGAAACACCTTTTCCATATTTGTCTACGCAACACTCTCCTGAACCTGCATGGTAATATACTGGCAAACAACCTCTTGAAAAACATATTGGTACTAGCAGATAACTTTCTTTTCAGCTACATAATGCAGGGCAGCCAGTCGAGACTCATCCTTCAAGTTACACAATGTTGATTAATGTTTCACAATAGTTCAATGTATTCAGATAGTAACAAGGTTATTGATAACTGCAGTTGAGGGTCAATAAGAGACCATTAGTGATTGAGCTACTGACAACACAGATAACTGTTACAAGGAGATTAAAGAAACAATTCAAAAAATAGACAACCACTGGGGTAAAACTCACAAGTATGCAAACCTTGGAAGGTTTCAGAAGATCTTACAGAAAAGTAAGGAAAGAAAGTAAGTAAGGAAGCTTTCAGTACAGTCTCTGTATTTCCATACAGAATTCTTGTGACAAAGTCCAGAGAATCCTACATGATTTTCTATCTGGACAGATATTCATTTAGCTGCCACAGCACTATGGGGTCCCTGCCAATCATTTGAGCCAGAGAGCATATTGCAGAAGGCTTGTGCAAACCTCATGTTTCACAATATTTATGCATTAGTTTTACTCAAGAAGCTGCAGTCATCTATCCCCGCATTAGTGACATGCTGCAGACATCCTTGGTAGAATTTCAGGGACACCTTCTCTGTCCCTTGGCTCTATTTAATAGGTACACTTGGAAATTGAAGCCTTGTAGGGTCTGATTAGATGAGGACTCCTGTACAGCTAAAAGAATTGTACAGCTGGCGCCCACCCCTTTTGACAAGTGACACCTATCTATTCTTTGAGTAGATCTATAGCTTAGTGGCAGTATGCATGCTTTGCACACAGAAGGTCACAAATTAAATACCTAGCATATCTTCCAGCCCTAGGTAGGAGACCTGCTGCCAGTCAGTGTATGAAATATGGGGTTGTGTGGACCAAAGGTCTGGCTCCTTAGGAAGCAGCTTCCCCTGTTCCTACAAACCCTGTCTTCCTTTGCACCTGAGAAAGCCAAGTACATCAGGCAGCAACAAAGGGCTAAAATGATATCTGTATATACCTTGAGTTTATTTGTTTTTCTTATAATAAGTTAAGTATAAACAAGTTAAGGTGTTGCCATTTTATATGTGGAAATTACAGCAGCACTAAATGGAGTATTTAGAAAGGTTCCAAATTCTGAGCAACAACAAAAGAGTTTCCAATCCTTCCATTCAAGTTTTGGATTCAAAATCAAAGAGCTCCAGACTTCTGGGCATATCTTGCTTTAGCAAACAAATATGATCTCTCAGTTGCCAAATGGTCAGTAACAAAATGCCAGTACACATAAGCTGCCCAAAACTGAACCCAAATATCCCAGGATATTAAATACAAGTACGCAAATAAAATTGCCAAGCATTTCTTGAGTATTCAGGGAATAATCCAAACTCAGAGAAGAATTCCCTCGGCACAGAAGGTGGGGGAGTCTTTAACTGTATTTCTCCAATTGTCTAAAATCATAAAGGAACCAAGGATAAACACATAGAACAAGCCTACCGAAGCTGCTTAAATAGCCAGATGCCTTCCAAATAATGCAGAGAAACAATTTTTCCAATATATGAAATATCCTAGAAGTTGCCACAAATACTGAATATGTTTAAACAACTTCTAAACACCAGCATAAGAAACTCCTTACCTCTAGAGAGAGGAGACCCCTCCTTGTAAAGGAGTTTGAGAGAAACTTTGTCAATAGAACAAATGCATATCCTTACTAAAGACAAAAATAAAATCCATTAACTCATGGGGTAGATGGCTGATTTGACTTCTCCATTTATTGCCAGAAGATGCTCTGAACGTGCATTGCCATTTGATGGCTATTTATACCAGCGAAAAATGCTTTACTGACAGTGTTGCTTTTTGCAAGGAGGGGGCTGAATTGGTGATCCAAGTAAGGCAAGGGCCAGGGTGAGAGAAGGGAAACTCCTAAAGCAGACCAGTTGTCCCTGTAAGAAGCGTCACACCCAAGGCTGCTTCCCTCTCACACAGTATAGTAAGATGTTCCACTTTCATGTTCCTTTCAGACAGTTTCTGGAGCTTTGTAAACATTCGTGTAAGGCCATTGTTTTGCTAGCTAAACAGAGCATCCTGCAGGCAACCACAGTGCTATCTCAACTCCTTCTTTTGTCACAGAAATGTGATCAAATTCCTCCAGAGTGAAAGAGCCAAAAAGGAAATAAGCTATTGTCTCTCTGTGTATATATCCATCTGGCTGCTGTGTTAATTTAGCTAGTCACATGCTTTTGCCCCCCACAGAAAGTTTGAACATGACAGCACAGGCTTCCATTCTGGAGAAAATGAGATTCCTCCATTTTTAAAAGTTTTGGACAGAAAAGAATGTTTTTAAAAAGCACGGTAGCAATGGGGGGGTGGAATGGTGAACGTTTCTAGGAGTTGAGGGAGAAAACCAGCTTCTTGAAGTCACCTGGGCTGGCAAATGGCACGTGAGTTGCTATGCAGTGCAACATAGTTTGTGTGCCTTGAAGGCTATCCAGTTTGTGCAAAATGCATCCTAGTGGGCACAACTGTTCAAACTCAGACATACTATTGGCATTGAACAAACTGCACCTGCTGCCAAATTATTTCAAAGCCCAAGTCAAGGTGCTGATGTGGATATATAAAACCTGCAACATCTTGGGACCTAAATATCTGAAGGAGCACTTCCTTTCGTACCGACTTGCCCATGAGTTAAGATCCCTCTGGATACATAAACTTTGGGATGCGAACGCGACAAACCCAGAAGTATTTTTCCAGGTTTCGCAGGTGCGCATGTGCAGAAGTGCTTTACGCTCCACACGCATGTGCAGAAGCGGTCCTCTAGTTGCGAATTCCTTGGGATGAGGCCAGACCTCTGGAACAGATCCCATTTGTAACCGGAGGTATTCACAAGGATTTTAAAAGATGTATCACCAAATGTCGCAGAATTATGGAGAATTGGATTTAAGATTGGAAAAGTGAGAAACCAAAATTTACAGATTTGGCTACCCTAACATGGACAGGCTTCCTTTGTGGTGGCTCCCTGTCTTTGGATCCTCCACCCACCTGCAAGGAGTGTTGTGTGCAGATTATGCTGCCCTTTCGCAGGCAGATAAAGGTGCAGCTACCTTCCCCATGGCTTCAGGAGGGGTTGAGGTTTTGTCTTAGAGAAAGCACTTCTGCTTATGCAAGGCAGGAAAGGGCACTCTCTTTATGCTGACCTCTCTCCTACTTAACCTCTTTGATTCCAAGGAAATGGAAACTATTTGGAAAGAATAGGTTGTGGCACAAAAAGTTGGGTGCGTGTGACAATATCAGCACATCAGGTGTCTTAACTTGGGCACTTATCTGTAACGAAAACCATCATTGGATAGAAACACACCGGGGGAGGGGAAACACCTGCAAGAATAAGAAGTGTTGACGCTGGAAGAACCCTTTGAGCAGATGTAGCCATTGTGGCGGCCCACCAGAAGTTGCTGGACTCTAAGTCCCATTGGCCACAACCAGCATGTTCAAAGATTATGGGACTGGTAGTCCACAACAACTGGAAAGCACAATGCTGAAAACCCGTAAGAGTCCACAAGAGGATAAGGGCCATACATACAAAGTCATTTCTCTCCAGTCAGATTCTACTTTACTTTGCATAGTTCCTTTATTTTAAAAAATCCCACTGCAATATGCCTAAAATATTTCCAGGTCATTGTTTTCCTGCGGTGACCCTCCCATATGCAAAAGAAATATTGAATACAAGGGATTGACTCTGCCCTCCCTAGTTTTACGCTTTCCTGTGAGTGAAAACGCTTTTTAAGATGGTAATCTAGCTGTATCGTTCAAATTACATGTTTTAAATTTGCTATGTAGTTATAAGGAAGAAAGGCTGGAGAGAGAATAAAACTAGAAACAAGGGGAAAACTTTGCATTGCTCAATCATAGATTTCAAAATGGTACTAACTTTGTAGCAGGCATGTTTAGAATTGCAGCATCACAGATTCACAAAGATAGAAAAGACTGCCACTTGTTCATACACTCATTAGCTTTAGAAATTAATTAGACGAAGTCATTTAGCTCAATCGGATTAGAAACATTAGAAACAAATTAAAACTTAGAATTTGAATGCATCTATCTTGTTGACCTCTTAGAGTAATTTTAAAAACATTAATGCATACATGATTACCTTCAGGCCCAAATTCAAACAATATTTTGACATAAAAAATACACCTATTCCCAAGTATCAAGAGGAGCACATAAAGTTATATGTACATTCACGTGCACACAAGTTAACATTTTCTCTTAGGAGTCCTCACATGTGAAGTTTCCTTTCATTAGAAATTTAGCTTTCTAGATGAGTTTTGACACCTATCTCCCAGTCCACATAGCCCCTTGGTATCTAAGACCACTACAAAGCTTATCCATTCGTTGAGGGCCTGCACCATCTTTGCCTGAAGATGCCAACAAACCTGGATGAAGAATGGATGAACTTCTCTCTCTCAATAGCCCTGCCAAAAGGAGTTGTAGAGTTGCAGAAAAGCTTGCCGAGCCCTTATTCACAGAGAAATTAGGTTGCTGTAGCAACCCTATAGCAACCTAGGGCACCACAAGACTGCCCAGTTCTCCAAGAGTCCGTTGATCTTTCATCAGCCTCAGTAGGGACAAAAAAAGGCAAGTTGCAGAGACTTAAATGCCTGAGTGGCTTAATAGTCTCCAGAGATCAAGACTTACTGCCAGAAGTCAGGACAGTAAACCCTTTCCCCTACTTTTCACAACAAGCACCGACCACAGCAGGGGTGGTGGTGGAATAAGACAAACTCACACTGCATCCAGTTCTCTTCTTCCAGTACAGTGGCCTTTAACCAAAAGGCAAGGTATCAAGTATATATTGGATTGGACAATCCAGGAGAACAGGTTTGAATGAAGAAATTTCACTAATCACACTCAACAATTATGTGGCACTTCTACAAAACTCTTCACAGATATTAACCTTAATACTTCACTAATCCTCTCCAATATACATGGGAGGTAAACAAAGAGGGAAGGTACAATTATTTATTTCCACACTCAGTATACTAAAGCCTGCTCAGGTTACTACTTGAGAGAGGGCGGAAGACTGAGAGCACAAGACACATGGGAAAGCAAGGTTGCTGTACTGAAAAGTTGGCTTGGTAATAGTCTGAAGCTTAAGAACTTTACACAAAATTAACACGGCTGCCATCCCTCCAGTTCCCTGGTGGTCCATTACCAACCGAGTCAAGGCTTTCCCCCACCCAGTCAGTCTTCCTTAGTGTTAGCGTACAATTGCTACTTCAATCCAGAGAACTGTGATCTCTCCTGCACCTCCCAAGAGATTTAGGCGGTCTGATAACTCTAGGGTCCCTTGAAATCACTTGGAGATATGGCTGAAGGGCACGGCTTTATAGCAACTCTAGTTCTTCATGGGACAGTAAGTTTCAGAAGGCAGCACTGGGAAGCTATTTTGACACCCTATTGGAGTTGTCTTTGGTCCTCCTCAGGGTACCATTTTGTCTACTATGAAGCCTCTAGGCCAGCTTGAGGGCCACCTTCCTAAGTCTAGATGCCAGTGAAGAGCAGAAGCAAATGTAGACAGAGAAACAAATGTGAATTTTAGGCTACTTTCTAGCCTAAACACATACTCCTCTCTATCCAGAACAGCAAGACTTATCAGAATTCAAGGACACATCACAGCCATACAAAAGCACAAGTTGTAAAGCCGGACCAGCAAGGGTTGTGGTTGTGGCTGTGGGATTGCTCAGAGCCAAACTGCAGCCCTATCTTTCAGTTCCCAAGCCTGATATTCCCCACCCATGAGATTCCTCTAGGTCACATAGTTTGAAATATCCAGCCAACAGTATGCTGATTAATTCCAATGCCATTTCCCTTTTCATTGGATCTGGATGGAGCAGTGAAGTCCCTGAACATGTGCCAGAATCACTCATGCTCCAAACAACTGAGGTAAACTGCGGTTATCACACCTTGATAACACACGGATTAGATGACTGCAATGCACTCTTTGTGGGACTGCCCTACAAGAAAGTTCCAAAGCTTCAATTAACATACCTTTTCTCTCCAGCAACTGCTTTGGCTTCCAGTATGTCTCATACAGAGGACTCACCTAGACTTACTTTTGTGTTGCAATTCTAGGCACAGGTCCAGACTTTAAAGCTCCATGTCTGAGTGGAGTGGGGCTTTTTACCCCCTCCCAGTGCTCTCCCCAGGAAAACCTGTGTTTTACCACTATATCACAGACCTGTACCTGGAAAGCGTAGTACAAAAGGAAGTCTGGATGACCCCTGAGTCAGTTCACTGGGTCCATGTAGCATGCCATTGTCTATACCAGGCATCCCCAACTTGTGGCCCTCCAGATGTTTTGGCCTACAAGTCCCATGATCCCTAGCTAACAGATCAGGGGTGATGGGAATTGTAGTCCAAAACATCTGGAGGGCTGAAGGTTGGGGATGCCTGGTCTATACTGACCAGCAGTGGTTTTCCAGGTTTTCAGACAAGGTTCTCTTCCAGCCCCACCTGGGGGTTGAACTTGGGACTTTCTGCAGGAACATGTGCAGAGAAGGGCAACCAAGATGATGGGATCTGGAAATCAAGTCTTATAAGAAGCATTTGAAGGAGCTGAATATGTTCAGCCGGGACAAGATTAGACTGAGAGGGGATACAATAGCCAAGGGCTGTCACATGGAAGACAGAACAAGCTGGTTTTCTCCTACTCTAGAAGATAGGACTCGAACCAATAGCTTCAAGTTACAAGAAAAGAGATTCCAACTAAATATACAGAAAATATTTCTGACAGTAGGAGCTGTTTGACAGTGGAACCATCTCCCTCAGGGGGTGGTAGACTCTCCTTCCTTGGAGGTTTTAAGCAGAGGTTGGGTGGCCATTAGTTGAGGATGCTGTAGCTGAGATTCCTGCATTGCAGGGGGTTGGACTAGATGACCCTTGGAGTTCCTTCCTATTCCATGATTCTTGCCTTTTTAGTCTCTTTTTTTGGGGGGGGGAAGATCCTGCTTATTGTTTCACCTTGTTGTTTATTGTAAAGCACTTCGTAAATTAAAATTTTGAAAATCAGTTTAAAAACAACTAGACAAATTGAGTACCACCACATTTTGTAGCTCTATAATGCTGCTGGAAAACATTTGTCTTCCTTTTCAAAATGGACATATTCCAGAAATATCAAGGAAAACAAAAGGATAAGATACAAGGCAGGCATATTTAAAAAAAGACCTCTATCCACCTGAGATGCCTAATATGGCAGATAGTTGGTACAGCATTTATTCCTTTTAGGCACTTTGTTCATTTGTCATAAAACAGCAGTGCAGAACTTCTTCCATGTGGGCCTAATTAGTCTGCCATTGAGTTGGTGAGAGTTTTGGAAAAGCCCCACCCCCCTGTCACACATAAGATGCAAAGACATTACTTATTAAAAAGGGGGTTGCAAGTACTATCAATCAGCTGATCTGCACCACGGTGTAGAGTACCCTGTGTAGCTCTTTGGGAGTACAGACAAATCAGGAGATGGTCAGGGCTTGCAGAGAGCCCTGCACAGTGCTTTGAAGCCCCAATGATCAATAGATTGTTGGGCCTTCAAAGTGCCACACGCCATGCATAGTTTAATTTCGAATTGCCCTTGTAAAATTCAGTCAGCATCAGATTGACAGGTGGGGCTGCCAATCTTTGCCCATGGGCAACAGGAGAGATAAGGATCTTGCCCACAGGCCAGATATAATATTCCACCTGGCCAAGCAAAAGCATGTGTTACATGTAAGCAAATGGTTGAGCAACCATGGAAATCATTCAAGAACCATTTCCTACAAACCCACAGCCAAGCTAGACTGGGCACATTCAAAACAAAATTTGCAGCCACTTACCCTTTAAACAGTTCCACTAAAGCTTCATTAATTTTTTTTTTTCTAAATATGGGGATGGAAGGAAATTGGTACTTTAAAAACAAGAAGGAGCATCCACAATTTCAGCAAAGGCAATAATAGGTCAGGAGTGCTCACAATGGTAAAATTAGCAATTTTTCATTGCCAAAGTTATTACAAAGTTGTAGAAAAGTCTATTTTAAGTGTCAAAACAGTATGCCGGGTCCATGAGCAGTGAGCATAGGTTCTTCTGGTCCAGCTGTTCCTTCCCAGATGTTCACTTAACCAGAGAACCTTTTTGATGTTTCTCTCTCTTTTCCATTTCCATTCATTACAGTATGTTGTATCTAACCCAAGTCACCTTGTTGGCGGAAGGACAGTCACTTGTACAACAGAATGTCCCTTCCCTTCCCCATGCTCTCCCTATACATCCTCAAATCTGTTCCAGATAATTGAGGGAAGAGACATTCCATGGTGTAAATGCCTTGCACAAACAGGGGAACTTCATTGGATAGAACCAATGCTTATATGTCACCCAAAGGTTCTCCAGGCAGCTTCCAATGCTAATGCAGGATCTGAAACCACTGAAAAAGAGAGAGCAGAAAACCATATGCAGCAAATAAAACCAGGAACACCAAAATATCATACACCTTAAGAATTCCAAGAACACCCAAAAGATCTTCAAATATTACTATAAAATGTTTCAAGATAGAAAAGATTAGAAGACTAGAAAAGGTCTTCACCATAAGTGCTAGTCTTGGAAGTTAATTGCACAGCCATGTCCTACCACTGCAAAGACCCTCTTCTCTAATTGCCACCAGCACATGTCCTTTGGTGAGAGCATCCAGAGAGGCCACACAGGTGTGCGTGGGAGGAGGTGATCCTTTAGGCAACTGGGTCCCAAGCCAACTCTCTGTTTACAGAGAGAACATTACCACTGTCTCAAGTAAACACACTCCCTTCCCCTCCTTACAGTGTCCTCTTAAGAACCCACCAGCAAGATTGTCTCCAGTCCTCTTCCTTTTCTCCACTAACTTCACACTGGAGGAGAACTGTGGAGCTGCTGCTTCCTTCAAGGAGGCTGATTCAGTTTTGCCTGGAGACTCTGGTCCACAACAGCACTGAGAGACAAGGAAAGAGAAGACACACCTGCTCAGACCAGATGAGCAGGCTGAAGCAGCACACTTGCTAGCCACTCACCTACCTGCTGAACAGCTGCCAAAGGAAGAGATTGCTGCCTAGAGTGATAAGATCTGATGGGAGCAAAGGATGCATCATAAGAGGAAATGGAAGGAAGGAAGGCACAGCAACTCAGAGAAATGTCTTGACAGAGACACTGTACGATCCTCTCTCAGCCTGGCTGGCACACAATCTGCTCTCTTCTGCCCTTTTTTAAGCATTCAGTTAAAATGCAACTGAAGATGAGACTGTTTGGGAAAAGGGGGTGTCATTATTCAACTTCACTTTTTGAAATTATATGGGGGGGGGGGAGAGAGAGAAATGAGATGAAAGCATAATGAACTGACTGCTCCAGACCTTAAGGTCTTGTAGCCTGCTTGCGGTGTGACAAGCAAGCGCTCCCTGTAATTACATCCCTGTTCCCAAACAGACACACCCTCTCAGGAAGCAGTGGTTACAGCCACACTTTTGCAATGGCATCGCAGTGGGGAGAAGTAAGCATGCCAGCAAAGCAAAGCTGGCTCAGGCTGTGACAGCAAGAGAGACTTGTAAAGAAAGCAAAGTCACAAGATCCCTTGGCTCTAGAGGGAGTTTCCTCTTTTTTTAAAAAAGGAAAAGGGACATAAAGCTTTTCTCTCTAGTTAGGGTTTTGTGTATGATACACCATCACCCCACTCAACCTTATTTCATACATGCTATCACAGCTGCCTAAATCTGCACAGTTGCCCTTCTGAAATTCTCTGTTTCCAATTTTAAACACACCAATTTTGCTTCCGCAAATAAGGGTGCCAAACTGGAAACAGCTGGGGTAGGTTGAAAGACAACAACACCCTAGCTCAAGAGACCTCTTAGGAACCCAAAGAACGTGGATTTGCAGTGGTGCAGCCAGCTCAGGGACTTGTCAGGCCGTCATGTCTAAAGCCATAACAAACATGCTCAACAATTACTCAGATCATGAGAACACAAGAGCCCTGCTTGGTCAGAGAAAAGGCAGTTCAGCACCCTGTTTCCTACATTGGACAAAGAACAGATAAACCCAGGATACCAAATAAACACCATTATATTTCTATCACGGTTGCATACACAATGTCTGAAAGTCAGTGTTGCAAAGTTAATACGACTGCTTTTTTAACATTAACGCTATGCTATGCTGCAATTAACAGACTGACACCTTTTCCCCTACAAACTTGCCTAAATCTGGAGAACGGAATTTAAACTTGGGGAAAAATGAGAAACTGGGAAACATCAAAATTGACACATTTTCCCATCCCTAGTGATTACCCAGTATGGACACACAAATTGTGTGACTCACCAATCTGAAGGCAGCCCACCAGTCATGTGCTTTATGACCTGCCAGGGCTTGTAAGCTGTATCTCATATTGTGATTATATCACAAACAACTGGCAGGTCATTAAATGTTGATGCTTCACAAGGTCCAGATGGGTGCATAATGAAGACTCCACAGACTGTAGGGCTATGGGGTTTGAGGGCTATCGACCAGGAAATGGCAACTACTAAAAAAATATCCACTTCCATAGGAACCAACTCCTAGGGGCTGAGGTCCCTTCACCCGCCAATAAAATATTTGAGAGGGCAGCCCCAAGTTGATGGGCACTGCCATCCAAATGGCATGCATGCGCCATGTCTTGTGATGGATTATGTTGCTCCCCCCCAAATATTTTATTCAAGTTAGCACCCCTGTCCACTTCTGTAGTTCAGGGGAGAGGAACTATTTCCTAGCCCCGTGGTATCTCTGCTGTGTTCTCTGTTTTTATATTGTTCTAATCACCCACCTCTATTTTTTTTTTCTATTTAAAGGAAGTTGACTCTTTCTGCAAACATCAGAGAAGCAATGAACTGTCAGAAAACTGTGAGAAGACCTGTTACCACCTTCCCTTTGAGATATGAAGCAAACAGGACAATGAATTTATTTCAAACAGGATAAAGGGAGCATATAAAGGTCAGCACTGGTTTCCAGAAACAGCTGGCAACCAAGAAAGGGGTCTACTTGCAGTCACACCTCTAGAGTGCTCACCCCAAGAAAGCTGACCTAACCTTATCACCTTTAAAAACCTTGTGTCTCGTGATTTTATACAATTGGTATGCTTTTACAATTTACTTCTGCTTTGTTTTTATGCTATTTTAACATTTGTTACTTCAACTGCCTGGATTTATTAGCTACTTTAAAGGCATCTCTGCTGAAAGGCAGGATAAAACTTAAACTTTGCTTAAAATGGAATGAACTTAATTCAGTGGTATAGGGACGACCAACCTGTGGGATGTATGTGACCCCCTAAAAAAATAGGCAAAGGCCATCAAGGCTCCCCCAAGCTTGTCATTTAAAAATAGTTTTATTCTGAAAAAGATTAATATTTCTGGAGATCCCTCATAGTGATACCAAAAGTGTTTTGCAGGGCCCCCAAACTGTCTCTTACAAAACAAAACAATGAGCAATAAAATGGCTTAAAATACTGTTGAATAGCTGATAAGATCTTCTGGAAGGCAGCTTTGAGAACAGCAGTTCTTGCCATGCCTGTTTCTATTCCCTGGCCACACCAACATATCGTGGGGTGTATGGGGTGTTAGGGAAAGAGTAGTACCTCTGGCAGGGGACACGTTCCCCACCCCGGATTCAGCTCTCACTTGTGGTTCTGAGAAGCTGTCAGCAGGCCACACCCTGGGAAGTGGCTTCTATTGGCCAGCTAAACCAGGTGAGGGTAGCTGATGGGTCTAAAACCCGGGGTGACTTCCCCCTGCATGCAAATAAAGGCTCTGGTGGATTGAGCGGAGGAGACCAATAGTGGGTCCAAGTCAAGAAGGTGGTTTCTGAATGTGCTGTAGAAGAAATTGAGGGGCAGATGGGGCTTATCCGCCTGAGAAGGCAGCTCAGGGACATCTTCAGGAGAAGAAAGGACTGAGGAGTAAACCCTACACAAATCCAAAGTGGAGTGCCTAAGATGGTTGAGTGGCGCCTTGCACGCTTCCTTCTGGCAAGTCCTTCAGCCAAGCTGGTGCCAAACATCTTGCTCTGCTTTCCTTTGGACCACATCAGTGAGGCTGAGGAGGGTGGGGTATCGTGTGGGCAGCCCAGGACCTCCATGCCCAGCCTTGCACCCCAAGGAGGTCACTTTGGTGCTGCTATCACTCCATTCACCTCAAGACAGACAAATGCCAACAACTTATGATGTTGCAGCCCTTAGTCCCCCAAACGTGCTAGCTACCCGTGCTTTGATAAAGTAATAAAATAATTGTCATCAGTACAGAAATTTGATCACTTCATCTTGTGCTTTTATCTTGTATTTTTATGCTGTGAACCGCCCTGAGATTTATGGGTGAAGGGAAGTGTACAAATTTAATAAATCAATATAAATCAATAAAAATTTAAAGGCATCTACCTAATTTGCACTTTTCAAAACAAGATGCAAACCGAAAAGAAGCCATTTAAAATTCACACAGCTCTGAGGCATACAATTTGGACAAGAAAATTGACTTCCAGGTGGAAAAATCAAAATTAGAAACAGAACTGTTAGAACCCAAAACTAAGAATTTGTCAAGAATGTATAACTTGCTGCTGAAATGGAATACCCAGGATGAAACGGTGAAATTCGCTATGATTAAATGGGCACAGGATGTTGGACATAATATTATGTTTGCTGACTGGGAACAGTTATGGACCACAGGTATGAAGTTTACGGCATGTAATGCCCTAAGAGAGAATATTATGAAAATGATATACAGGTGGTACATAACCCCAGTCAAGCTTGCAAAAATCTACCATTTGCCCGATAATAAATGTTGGAAATGTAAAGAAACTGAAGGTACATTCTTTCACCTTTGGTGGACGTGCCCAAGGATTAAGGTTTTCTGGGAGATGATTTATAATGAATTAAAAAAGGTATTTAAATATACCTTCTTGAAGAAACCAGAGGCCTTCCTCCTGGGCATAGTCGATCAATTGGTGTTAAAGAAGGACAGAACTTTCTTTATGTATGCTACAACAGCAGCAAGAATACTTATTGCAAAGCATTGGAAGACACAAGATCTACCCACGCTGGAGGAATGGCAGATGAAAATGATGGACTATATGGAATTGGCGGAAATGACTGGCAGAATCCGAGACCAGGGAGAAGAGTCGGTGGAAGAAGATTGGAAGAAATTTAAAGACTATTTACAGAAATATTGTAAAATTAATGAATGTTAGAATGATGTTGGATTGAAGTTAAGTGGTTTCTAGCTGTAATGGTATAAAAGAATATGGAAAATTGGTTTTTAATATCTAAAAACTTAATGTTATAATATATCAGGATTAAAGATTAGGATTAAAAAGGAGGGAAAGGAATCGCTGGATTAATAAATTGAATTGGAATACAAAAGAGGGAGGTATGAGGAGGTCTGGGAAACAAGTAAATGTAAAAGAAGTGATGAAAAGATGGAATTGTTTTTAATTGGTTTTTATTTTTTGTATTTTATATTTTGTATTTTTTCTTTTTACTGTTAATTTTCTTTTTAAGGTAATCTTTTCCTTTTGAAATTTTAATAAATATCATTTAAAATAAAATTCACACAGCTCTGAATTTTGCAATGCAGCTCTTCAGGCAAACAATGCATAAAAATGTGCATACTGAGGTACAGTGTGCATAGCCATGTACATATTAGTGGAAACATACATGCAACACTGCACAAAATTGGGGAGCATAGCTTTGCAAAAATTGTATGCTTTAGGCATACAAATATTAGGAGAAACTCACACTGAAATAATGAAATTTCATGAAGACTTTTTTAAAAAGCAATTTGCAATCTGATGCAGAAATGTGGAAAACTGAAGACTAGAAAAATGAGAAACTGACCTATTTGCCCACCCCCAGTCAAGAGCAGGCGGGGTAGGCTTCTAGCCCTCCCATATCAAGTGCTAATAGAGCCAGCATTTTTTAAAATAAAAATAAAAATAATCCGTTCTATGGGAAAACGTTCTGAATATGCAAGACACGTTTCTACATGCAACCTATTCCTGTTGAATCCAAGTTGCCACAGAATAGCCCAAAGTGAAAACAAACAAGGCCATTCCCACAGAGTTCCCACCAGCAGATATGGGATTTTAGGCAACGTTTAGACCACATTCCCTTAATAGTCTGGAGAACCTGTATTTCTTACAGACACTGCTTTGACACACTTGAGTGGCTACTAGGGATGGTGGATAAATTCAAATCGGGTTTTATTTAAAGGCAAACCTACCTAATGTGCACATTCCAAAACAATAGGCAAACTGAATCTCTTTAGAGCCAGTATGGTGTAGTGGTTAAGAGCAGTAGTCTCGTTATCTGGGGAACCGGGTTCGCGTCTCCACTTTCCACATGCATCTCTACATGCGTCTTCCACATGTGTCTTCCATATGCGTCTCCGTTCTTCCACATGCAGCTGCTGGGTGACCTTGGGCCAGTCACACTTCTTTGAAGTCTCTCAGCCCCACTAACCTCACAGAGTGTTTGTTGTGGGGGAGGAAGGGAAAGAAGAATGTTAGCCGCTTTGAGACTCCTTAAAGGGAGTGAAAGGCGGGATATCAAATCCAAACTCCTCCTCCTCCTCCTCCTCCTCCTCCTCCTCCTCCTCCTCTTCTTCTTCTTCTTCTTCTTCTTCTTCTTCTTCTTCTTCTTCATCTTCATCTTCTTCTTTAAATTTGCCCTTCTCCTAGGCAGTTCTCCAGACATGCACACAAAAATACGTCATGTTTTGCAAAAATACGAAGATTAGAACAAAGTTGCAAATGTTTATAGGAGGAAAACTGTTCTAAAATGCTGGTGAATCTGCCAGAGAACTTTTAAAAAATAAACTGATGTGGAAATGTGCAAAAGCTGTATTTGAGACTGGAAAGGTGAGAACGCAAAAGAAAGCAAACTAGTAGATTTGTCCATTCCTACTGGATACAGGAGCAAGTTAAACAGGGCAAGTACTATGTCTTCAGCAAGAAGGAAGAGCTGTTTACCTGTGTTGGCAAAAGGAAGAACCTTTTCCCCCAAGCTGATTTCTTTAACATAGACCATAATGACAGATATGTTATCAACCACAGCTATTCAACACACGTGTTTTTATTGGGGGTATTGAACAGCCTTTGAACTTTGGCTGGAGCCATGTGCCATTGCATGGCAAGAATTGGTACCTGAGGCAGCTTTTCTCCCCATCCAGATTTCATTCCGTATTCTGTCCATTAGACCATATAAAGTTATGTTACTTTAAATTGTGAATTGCTTTGAGCACAGACAAGCAGCATACATGAAACATGCAAAGAAAGAAAGAAATGCTTTGACTAGGTCTCTAAGAGCAGAGGCCCATTTAGTCCAGCATCCTGTTCTAACAGAGGCCAGCAGAGGCCAACGGGAAGCTCAACAGCCCTCCTCCTACTTGTGGACCACAGCAACGGGTATGCAGAGACACAGGACCTCTGACAGTGGAGGGAGGACATAGCCAATGTGACTAGCCTTATCCCTCATGAATGGTCTTACATTTTGCTTCCCTGAAAATGCTTCCACAGCTAAAACAATTTGTAGTAAGCTAAAGTAATCATTAGGGATGCAGGTGGCTCTGTGGTCTAAACCACAGAGCCTAGGGCTTGCCGATCAGAAGGTCAGTGGTTCGAATCCCCGTGAGGGGGTGAGCTCCCATTGCTCGGTCCCTGCTCCTGCCAACCTAGCAGTTCGAAAGCACCTCAAAGTGCAAGTAGATAAATAGGTACCACTCCGGCGGGAAGGTAAACGGCATTTCCGTGCGCTGCTCTGGTTCGCCAGAAGCGGCTTAGTCATGCTGGCCACATGACCCGGAAACTGTACGCTGGCTCCCTCGGCCAATAAAGCGAGGTGAGCGCTGCAACCCCGGAGTCGTCCGTGACTGGACCTAATGGTCAGGGGTCCCTTTACCTTAAAGAGATCAGAAGGAGAAACCCCTTCAGCAGTCCCTCGGTTGACAGTATGCCCACACTGCAAGGCCCTTTTCACTTTGTCAGAATTTGGAGCTCATTGGGGAAGCGGAAACACTGTGGATATTTTCTTGAAGTGGCAATGAACGATAATCGGAGGACAGGCCAAGATTTCGCAAGAGGTCATTGAGACATGTTGACTTGGCTCTTCTTAATCATCAAATTCCAAGCATGTGACAGAAAGCAACACAGAGGCATTATTGCTTGTTATTAAAAGCTCAGAAGAGAAAGGAACAGATTCAATGAGGTCTGCAGAAAATCAAACCACATTTTTTATCAGGCGCCTGAAGACTTATAAGAAAAACATTCAGATAAGTGCTGGGGCGATAAGGCCTCTTAACAACATTCATCTTTAAGAAATCATGGAGCAATAGGTCCAAGTATCCAAGTAAAGTTACTGGTAATGAATGCATAGTTAATCTACAAATTTTCATGCACTTGCACCATCCTCAAGATAAGGAGGGAGACCTCCAACTCTCTGCTCTTCCTGGTCACCTGGAGGAAATTCTTACCACTGCAGGTTAACTGCCTATTTTTTTATGGGTTAAAGTAATGCCAATCTAAATATGCTCATTTTCCTTGCAATCCAGCCACCACACAATTGGCTGAAGTGATTTGGGTACAATATATGCTGCCCTCACTGCAGGATTTCCCATCTTTTGGATTGTTTCATACATCACATGGACATGGCAAAACCTTTGTTAGCCAACAAGCCTCTGCTTGCCGTAAACTCCCCATTTTCTGCCTCATGCACCCATGTAGTGCACGTACATACAGAACAGGCTTTTCTGTGTGCTTGCAACATCGTTTTACCGCCCACATTTTACAGGCACCCTTAAGGAAACAAACCTAGGCTGTAAAACAGCCCTCAAATATGGAGAAGAGCACACTTCCCATTATACAAGTGTCAAAACATGTATGATGTGCATAGATAATTTCTGAAGAAAACAAGATGGAAAGAGTGAGCTGGATCTTATTTCCATTTGGACACATGAGCAAGTGGGGGAAAGCCAGTCGAAAAGCCAGAAGCATTTTCTTACCCCTTTCATGTCCTCTGGCATAGTCATAAGTTCAGAAATTTGCAAAATGTAAACCGGATGGAGAGGAAAGGGTAGAAGCAGAAATCCAATGCTTCCTGAACTAGAAAATGTGCTAAGTGGGACAATAACATTGAGGAACACGTTGTCCCCACCCCTAACATTTTTGGTCTAGCAAAATTTGATCTCATGAAATAATACTATATCAGACGAAGCGAAAAGGCAAGAGGGAGATTCTATCGGGGGAGAATACAGCCCAGAAACTATTTAGTCTTTCGTTAAACAGCTAAACCAAAAACCGAAAGAAAACCACCAAATGCCAAAGCTCTAGTAAGCAGCAGCTAATGAAACAGAGCACTTATTCCCTAAATGTTTACTTAATAAACTGGGCTGGAAAAGCTTCTGCAATCTAATGTGCAGAAAGAAGATGCACACAATATATCACCAGGGAAACCCAGCCAGATGGGCGGGGTATAAATATACTATTATTATTATTATTATTAATTATTATTATTATTATTATTTGTTCAAAACATCAAACCGTCTTAGGCAAGTGGACAGGGTCACCACACCTCACCTCTCTTCTGCAGATGCTTAGTACACAATTGCAGAGCTCAGGGAATCATATCACATCCAGCAGATCTTACATATTTCTCCCAGAAATAGTCAGAGACCCTCCAGCCCAAGGGAATACTTCATTCAGCAATAAAGTTCAAAGCCTTCATTGCTCACACAATATACATGAATATCTACTACAAAACAAGACTGTCTCACCAACTCTACAGCTCTCGCTGAGAGATCGATCAAATCTCCAAACAGGTTAATGGTCTGGTCAGGTTAATGGTCTGGTTAAAGGACCTCTTGCTTGGTCCTTTCTCTTTCCCCCCTCATGCACTACATTGGTGATATAACCCCTTCAGGTCTATTTGTTGACCAATGAAATTGCTAGCAATGTGACACATGACATGCAGTTCTGGTTCAGACAGATAATGCCAGGCGTATCAGCTAACAGATATCACCCTTGCTCATCTGGAAGTTCCTTCACTCTTAGGTAATAATCAGGTTCAGCAGAAGTCCTCTATTTCAGATAATTTTAGGCAGTTATGCAAACATTTATATAAGTTTGGCAGAACCTGTTACCTAACTAAAGTATTTATGGATTTATGGACCCAAAACATGATAGGTATGCATCCATCACAAACTAAAAGTGACAGCTGACCCCCTTTCACCATAAGTCGTGCCCCATTTTAGGATTCCTCTCCCCTCTTATGACACCCCCAAAAAGATTCCCTTGAATGGTATGGCTTTGGAGGGGTTTTGCCCCCAATGTGGGTTTGGAGGTGGGCTTTTACCCTCCATGCAACTGTTGTCTCAACCCTGCTCAATAGGTATAGGCTTTGAGACCCCAGATTATTTGCATTTCTAATTAAAACTAACCATTGCATTTCAGCCCATTTAATAACTTATGTTAAATCCCAATGTGGATTAATCCAAAAGCATTTATTCAATTAGAGTCATTTAATGAGCATGTGAGTGGATGGCGGAGAAGCTATGACTCCCTATAAGTGTAGGAAACATTCCACGTAAATGGAAACCTATGACATGCACTATCACTCTCTCTCTCTCTCTCTCTCTCACACACACACACACACACACACACACACTCCTTTGTCATGGAGAGGCTGGATGAAGTGATGAGAGGCACCAGCTGGGGAATCCCAAAGGGAATGCCCGGGGGGGGGGGGAAAGGCTCAGAGCCAAGGGATTGGTGGTGGGATGACAATGAATGGTCAGAGGAAGAAGAGGGAGCAGACCAGGAGGAGGAGGTGTCAGAAGCTGAAGAGGTAACAGGGTTTAGTGAGCAGGAAGACACTGTGGCAGAGAGCAGTCCGGAATCAGAAGCTGGAGAGGAGGGGGCAAAGAGGCAAAGATGAGGCAGGTTGCTGAAGAAGCCAGGGGATCTCCTCCTGCTGCTGTGACAAGCTCCCCTCCCCACTAGTCTCCTAGAACACACAGAAAAATGATGGCGGTGAAGCAAAGAGTCAAGCAAAGGAGCTTTAGGCTGCTGGGGAAGGAACCAGGGAAGAAGCCTTAGGGAGCACTGGGAAGGCAGGAACCTTCTGTCCTTGCAGCTGCCTCATTGGGAAGAGTTGCTGGGATCACTAGGCCTGCACGGTTTTGGTTAACTTCATTGACACTGTGTTTTTCTTTGATTAATCTACCATTGACTCCAGCTCCTGACATTTGCAGACCTTAAAACTCCTAAAGCAATAGCACAAATGTTTAAAGAAATATATTAGACACATACACAAGTTTAGAAACAAAAAAAAAGCACCTGTTTACCAGGCCTATGGAACAGAAAATACTAGAGCTGTGCTCCTTTCCCAATCCAATGAGAGATGCAGATCACCACAACCTAACCTGGGGAACACCTGAGCTGAATTTTATTGGGAGCAGAGCTAATTAAGCTTATTAAAACCCTGCACCTCTTCCCGACATCCTAACCATGGAGAGCAGGAGGGTGCTGTTTTGCAAACTGTGAGGTTAATTGAAATCACTTCTTACAGCGGTTTCACTTCCTGTTTTCTTTCTCCAGCTTGAGATCCTCTTTAGAAATGAAAGTTTCCAGTAAAAAATTTCTTTTTTGGGTCTACAATTACTACCCACAGTGATCTGTGAAGGCAGCTACTCCTCTTATTTTTCTAGTTTGCATGCCCTCTCACTTACAGTGTTACCCATCACCACCAATACATCCCCCTCTATCCTTTATTTTATAGAGTTAGCATCCTTGGATACTGAACTATCTCCATTTTGACAGGTTTCTGTTTTACCACAGAGCCACCATGAAGAAGACCTCACTTCATGTTCCCACCATGCAAGGTCTGCAAGCAAGGCCTCTGCAGCTGATCATAGGGCTCAGATTGGGGGCAAATTCTCCACCAACCATCCAAAACATTATTGGCTATTACAGAAGTTATATAACTCCCCCAAAGGGCTGTAGTGAATTAGTTTTAAAACACCTAACAATGTAATGGGCTACATCCAAGTATGGCTGTGACCCAACAAGTTGTTGCTATACAGTGGTACCTCTGGTTAAGAACTTAATTCGTTCTGAAAGTCTGTTCTTAACCTGAAACTGTTCTTAACCTGAGGTACCACTTTAGCTAATGGGGCCTCCTGCTGCCGCCGTGCGGTTTCTGTTCTCATCCTGAAGCAAAGTTCTTAACCAGAGGTACTATTTCTGGGTTAACGGAGTCTAACTTGAAGTGTCTGTAACCCGAGGTACCACTGTATAAGATTTAAACTGCAGGCTTCCTTATAAAAAACAATTTGGGACAATTTTCCCATGACATATTCTGCCCTCTGGAACATATGATAACATAAAACAATAGACCCAGGTGTTTGAAAGCTGACAGATATGGTTCCTGGTAACCCTGAAACGGGAAGAAGGTCAGAATATTAAGTCCATTAAATAGAAGGGAACTGCTGTCTTATAAACTTTTGCAGGGACAAAACAAAGCACTGGGGTGGAATCCTAACAGTTCCTAAAGTACACAACGTCATATCCATTAAGCAATCTGTATTAAACCATAATCGCCCTAAGGACTCCACAACTTACAAGGACAAAATGTCTCCAAATGCTATTGCAAACGTGCACCCCAATGGCCTTTTCAACAGAAAAATGCAGGAATACAGAAGTTCATAAAAAGAGAAACCAGCATGCAGAATGGGCAACAATACACCCCTCTCATATTTTTTAATGTTTTTACATTCCATTTTAATACAAAAACATTGGAAAAGGAAATGTGAACAATATGTTTCACTGGCCCTAAGTCAGCCTTCTGAAATTGAGAGATTAAACTGATTTTTTTAGAATCATAGAATCATAGAATCATAGAGTTGGAAGAGACCACAAGGGCCATCGAGTCCAACCCCCTGCCAAGCAGGAAACACCATCAGAGCACTCCTGACATATGGTTGTCAAGCCTCTGCTTAAAGACCTCCAAAGAAGGAGACTCCACCACACTCCTTGGCAGCAAATTCCACTGTCGAACAGCTCTTACTGTCAGGAAGTTCTTCCTAATGTTTAGGTGGAATCTTCTTTCTTGTAGTTTGGATCCATTGCTCCGTGTCCGCTTCTCTGGAGCAGCAGAAAACAACCTTTCTCCCTCCTCTATGTGACATCCTTTTATATATTTGAACATGGCTATCATATCACCCCTTAACCTCCTCTTCTCCAGGCTAAACATGCCCAGCTCTCTTAGCCGTTCCTCATAAGGCATCGTTTCCAGGCCTTTGACCATTTTGCTTGCCCTCCTCTGGACACGTTCCAGTTTGTCAATGTCCTTCTTGAACTGTGGTGCCCAGAACTGGACACAGTACTCCAGGTGAGGTCTGACCAGAGCAGAATACAGTGGCACTATTACTTCCCTTGATCTAGATGCTATACTCCTATTGATGCAGCCCAGAATTGCATTGGCTTTTTAGCTGCCGCGTCACACTGTTGGCTCATGTCAAGTTTGTGGTCAACCAAGACTCCTAGATCCTTTTCACATGTACTGCTCTCAAGCCAGGTGTCCCCCATCTTGTATTTGTGCCTCTCATTTTTTTGCCCAAGTGCAATACTTTACATTTCTCCCTGTTAAAATTCATCTTGTTTGTTTTGGCCCAGTTCTCTAATCTGTCAAGGTCGTTTTGAAGTGTGATCCTGTCCTCTGGGGTGTTAGCCACCCTCCCAATTTGGTGTCATCTGCAAATTTGATCAGGATGCCCTTGAGTCCATCATCCAAGTCGTTGATAAAGATGTTGAATAAGACCGGGCCCAAGACAGAACCCTGTGGCACCCCACTAGTCACTCTTCTCCAGGATGAAGAGGAACCATTGATGAGCACCCTTTGGGTTCGGTCAGTCAGCCAGTTACAAATCCACTGAGTGGTAGCAAAGTCAAGACCACATTTTACCAGCTTCTTTACAAGAATATCATGAGGCATTTGAAGCAGGTATAACTGTCTCCCTTGCAGCATTTATGTGCCATAGTCATGCTGGATGGAACTGATGGAAATTTTGGTCCCAATACATCTGAGGGGCTCCAAGTTAGCCAAAACGACAACCTACAACTAGCAAACTACACATTATAACATTATAACATTATAACTTCCTCACACACACACCCTTAACCATCCCAAAAATCTTCAAAGGCTTTTTCTCCACTCTGTCAATGTAGGGGTTTAATCGCTGGGATCTCTTGTATGTGAATGCTAAACACTGTAATCCAACTGATGTGTTTATAGAAGCAAAATAATAAACTCACCTCATCAGCCACCAGAGTACCAAGGTCTTTTTTTTCCACAAGAAGACTTCCGTGACTTAGTGGGTGAGTTATGTACCAGTTCTTCTGTAAGACAACACCATCCAGCCCTATCTAAGAAGCACCTGACTATTGAACTGATAAGGAACTTATTGGTAAGAGAACTGACCAAGGCTGAAGAAAAGCGAGAGGCTTGCAGTCGCAGTTACAGGCAGCCAACATACAAATGTACAGCGACTTTGGACTTGACACAGTAAGATTGAATCCCATTTTTTTTATGGAGCTTAAAACAAAATTTTAAAATCTTCAAGTAGTCATATAAATATGAGAGGTGCCATAGTATTGCAGGCAGTTAACCAAATTTGCATAGGCTTCATTTACAGTCAATTGACTGAACAACAATCGTGGAAATATTCAAATAGCTTGTTGTGCTCGGTCTATTTTGAACTATAAAGCCTACTAGACACAAAGAGCAAGCCACCAGCCTTTTCTTTTAACTCCTTTGCAGGACTCTTGTGCCCTTCTACAACTTTTCAACTTATCTTTGTGGCTGAAAATCTCTACATGCTTACCTTGAAGTGAGAAGTATTAAACTTAGTTGTGTTTACTTCAAAGTAGATGTTCATAGGATTGCACTGCAAATCTCAATGCATAGAAAGAACGTCACCTGCTGAATCTTGTATCATTCAGTGAACTGTCAAAGTCATTGAAGCCTTGCTGGAAAGTAGGGTGACTATCCTGCCGACTACCTCCAGTCTAAAATCTCTTCCCATTCCTCTTCAGGTGGCCCAGGGCAGGGGGGAGGAGAGATCTACTGCACGGTGAAAACTATGGCTGTAAGACGAATTCCTAAGAAACCTTGAGCATTGTGCTAGAAGGCACTCGGAGGACAATAGAAACCTTTGAAATAACTAATCAATCACTCTCCTTGCCACCATCCTTGCTGATATGGAACAGAGAAAGAATAGACCTTGGAGAAAGAGAACTAACTGCCACATTTTCCTGTTTAATCATGATACATGGCTTAAGCCACATTTACAGGGTGGAGTGGAGATGGTTTCATGGGGCCTGGAACTGCAGCCTATTAGAGGGTCCGAAGAAAGGGCTTCTGAACACAAAGAAAGCTGCTCGTCACCAGGTGCTTGGCGCCAGGAAGTTCCCTGCATCTGCATCAAGTTCAGAATGGTACAACAGGATACCTCCCTTAAACAAATCAGTATGAAGTAGGCAGGAGTAGATCTTCCCAGAAAAGCTGTCAGCAGAGGGAGAATTAACCTGCCACTAAATTCTAATTTCAGTATATTTTAAATGTGGACTCTTCAAATATTTTGTGTGTGTGTGTGTGTGTGTGTGTGTATCTCATATCATTTCAATTGTTACCTTCTTACCAAAGTATAAAATCCATCAATGTGGTGGCCACACCTAGTCGCCTGTGGAGTGTTGTTAAAAGGTTTCACCGCACACCCTTTGATATAGGGAATAAACAGATGGGAGAAATTCCAAAATGCATGATGCACATTGACTTCCATCTTCCTCTCTTGCTGAGTACACAAAGCTGAAGTAGAAGAACAAACAGAACACAGCTGTGCCTAACCACACTTCTAGTTGTTTGGGTATGTAACCTGCACCTGCACACAAGCAGAACCCAACTGCCGAGAAAACCTGACGTGTGGCAGGGGCCCAACACAGGAGAAGACTCATCTCCTTGGACTCCCCACCACCAACCGAGGCTGAACACCACCTGAGACCAGCAGTACAAAACAATTTCCCCAAGCAGGGGAATCCAAGGTGGTAGCTGTGGGAGAAGCAAGACCCTCTTGGGGTGTAAATGCTGTGAACCCATCCATCATAAGCTCGGGTTGTATATATATGTGCCATGTATCATAAAGACACCATAGTCTGCATTATACCTCATTACAAAGCAAACACGAACACTGGGTAAGCACCTGGAACTGCTAGAATCTTGCACCACTGAAACACTGGGTTGGATGCAACAGTATGTTATTCTCACTAATAAATGCATTTTATGCACACTTGGCTTGGCTTGCACTTTTACAGAGGAAGAGTGAATGTCAAAGAATGGCTGCGTTTCAGTTAGCATATTGTTTCAGAAAATGTGAATTAGGTAGGCTAGTCTTTAAAGGAGAACTGAATCGACTTCCCTGCCATCCCTAATGATATCCTTGTGGCCCCAAAATGCCAATGAAGAAAATGATGGCACTCAGAACAGGGATAAGACGACAGACCAGAAACGAGTCTTGCAGTCCAGTGCAGGAGAAGTCCACCCCAAGCACAAGAGGATGCACTGTCAGTGCCTACCTGGTCTGTTGCAGTGGCTCCAAGAGAATTGGGGAAAACCAGAAGCCTGCCCCCTTTCTCCCCAGTAGGATGGGTCCCCACTTGAGCAGCCATTATGTTCTGTATACAGGTTTGATATTAATGCCTACACGCAGAGAGAAAGGCATTTCAGCACAAGAATTTTATAAGTTAACCTGTACACAAGTTTGGAAACCTTATCCAGCACTTATCCATGCAGAACACCATGCAGTTTAGATGCCTGAGAGAGAGTCCTCATTGGCAACAGCTGGGTAGCATTTTAAGGCTCGGTTGTTTGTTCCAATAAATCTTTAAATTATACAGAAATCGAATATGCTCATTTAGCAGGCCTTAGAATATGGTCAGGAAAAGTCCTGCAGCATCTTGGATTGCATCCAAAGGAGAGAATGGAAGCCCTAGCAGAAGAAATCTAGACTGAAAGAATGGGGGGAGGGATTTTGTTTGGTAGAGACAGAGTCCTTTTGAATAGGGAAAACAGAAACAAACAGTGAAATAAGTAGGGTTTAACCACTGCTTTTTTGTGGAGGTCCTCAAGGGTACGCAGTACCAGCACCTCTTTTTCTAGAAGAAAAGCACTGTGTTTAACATTTGAGCCATGTGCCTGCTGTCAGTCACAGATCTCCCATCAAAGGACTTCATCCACAGCCACTTTTGCTAGCTAGCGGTAGATGCAACCTTACTGTATGCTTGTGAAACGTGGACCACTTATAAACACCATCTCCAACTCCGTGAAAGATTCCATCAACAGTGTCTCCGAAAAGTTTTACACATCACCTGGGAAGACAGGCAAACTAATGCCAGTATACTGGAAGAAGCAAAGATCACCAATGATTCTTCAACATCAACTTCGTTGAACTGGTCATATTGTGTGGATGCCAGATTATTGTCTTCCAAAGCAACTACTCTATTCCAAATTTAAAAATGGAAAGCGTAATGCTGATGGTCAACAAAAGGAGTTTAAAGACTCTTTCAAGGCATATCTAAAAAAATGTAGTATAAACACTGACAACCGGGAAACCCTGATCTGCGAGTGCTCCAATTGAAGAACAGCCTTTACCAAAGGTGTCATGGGTTTTGAAGACACTCGAACTCAGGACGAAATGGAAAAATGAACTAAGAGGAAGGCACGTTTGGCAAAACCTCTCCATGATCAACTCCTGCCCAGAAACCCATGTCCCCACTGTGGAAGGACATGTGGATCCAGAATTGGCCTCCACAGTCACTTACGGACTCACTTTTAAAACCGTGTTTATGGAAGACAAATCTTATTCAGCTACGAGTGACCGCCAAAGAAGAAGAGATGCATCTGAGCAGAGGCGTACCAATTTACTAGTTCCACCCCTACATCTTCAGCCCATAACCCCACAGAGTACAGCAGCTCCCCAGACATTTGGAACTGCGGTTCCTACTGTTGGCCATTCTGCCTGGAGCTGACAGGAGCTGAGGTCCAACAACATCCAACCAGAGAGGCTGCAGGAGTCTGGTTTCTTGAAGCCCAAGCCAGGAAAAGCTTTGCTGGCTTTCTGTACTTCAGGCTGCTGTTGAGTTTAAAAAGTGGGCAATTGTATTTCTGCAGATTCATGTTTATTCCAACTCAGCGGTAAACAGTGGGTTTTCCTGGGGAAAGCAGTGGGGCAAACTGAAAAACGCTCAGAACTGTACCTAAAAAGCACGGGGAAACAGGAAGTGCTGATTTCCTCCATTTATACCTTGTTCCCAGGCCCCTGGCTGTTTAAAAAAGCCAGAGAACTTGATTTAGCCAGTCTTGCAGATGCTGCTTAAAATTTTATTCATTTTATTTTATTAAATTTTTATACCACCCTCCATCCATAGATCTCAGCGTGAATCACACCATAAAATTACAATATAAAACGGCACTTGAAGTCATATTTAGTTTGACTCACAGCACCACTGCCTTCTGGATCCACCACCTCTTGTCATTCAGCCAGGAAACAGCAGACTGCTTTTGAAAAAAGAGTTTTGCCTTTCCATTCCCGAATGAAGGCCATTCATTCTCTCCACACACACACCCCATGCAAAATGTGCACATTCTGCTGCAAGAGAGTGACGTCTTTCAAGGCTGCTTCTTGAGGGGGAAAGCAAAACTTGAAAACTGAAGAGGTTTTCACAGTTAGTAAGGCCACGTGTCTCTTCCACTGTACTCCCAATGCCTCATTATCATTTTCCCCCCAAACCAGAAGTCAAGGCATTTGCCTGGCCTGTCATTTAACAAGGAGCTAATGTTTTGCAGCTGGCTGGAGGAGAGCTTGCCTGACTCGAACGGCATGAACTCCCACGTAAGCTGGCCTCCTTCCTGCCCACAGAAACTCATTTTATTGGCACTAGAGCCTCAGAGAGCTCAAACCATAGACATCATTTCCCACCTTGTGATGTGTTTTCCAAAGGTGTGGCAGAACAGCCCTGGCTCCTTTCAAGCCACTTCATAGGCGGCGCTCATCTTTCACACCCACTGGCCCTCTCAACAGAGTTCTCCCATGCACATGTTCAGTCACCTAAGCATATCAAAAGTGCTTTGCTTTTCCTTATCTTTGACCTTAACATCACATCTGCTGCTCTTGCACCCAAAATATGCTAGTGTCAACCACAAGCCCACAAGCGTTGCCCAAGCATGCGGAGAAAACTCCCCAACTTACATTGCCTACAAATGCCAAGTTTCACAACGATGTTCCATCCCTCCTGACCTTGTGGGTTAATAAAGAAATGCTCTGGACATTCAGGGTTCTTACACAGGCCAACCATCTAAAGACCAGAGTTTCCCCATCCAAATAAACATGACAAGGAGGGACACCTAGGTTCACCACAGCAGTCTTAACCCTTCCCAGATCACTTCACCTACAGTTATTATCAGAGCTTTTTTTTCCCAGACAGAACTCGACAGAACTCAATTCTGGCCCCTCTCAGGTGGGCACCATTGCCATTCTAAGAGAACAAGGGAGGGGTTCACAGTGAGTTCCAGCACCTCTTTTTCTAGAAAAATAGCACTGGATATTATGCTCCCAATCTTGCTTTGTGTTCATGGGTACAACAGCGTTCAAAGCTGAGCTATACGATTTGAGTTCAAAGGTTCTCCCCAACAGTAGAATTGCCAAATTTTGTCTAAAGTGAAATTAAGAGAATAGGAACACTCCCTTCACACCATAAAAAAAAATCTAATGGCCTTTGATAGAGCTCTCTCCCTGAATTTGTCCAATCCCCCTGTAAGCGTCCGTGAAATCCACAAAGACCTGTACATCTGCAGAAATGGGGACAAAGTTCCAATTCCTTAGACTGGAAGTTCACTAAAGTACACTGAATGTTAACAGGAGAAGCACATGACAAGCAAGATTAAGGATGACTCAGGCTCATAAATCAAAGCTTGAATTGCATCTTAATTCCTCTTTTTTGTTTACCATTGCAGCTTCAAAAACCTTCTATTTTGTTCCTCTTGCTCTCCTAGTTACATCTTGCATTTTCTTATCCCTTCCTGTAACTAGTGGCCCGGTTAGGGCAAATCAGTCAGGCCTAGGGGAGAGGCACGACCAAAATAACTACTAGAAAGTCTCAGGCAGATAATCGTTAAATCATATCGACAGGCACCGTTCTCAGGAAGTCCACTGTACCAGAAGTATATTGCATAAGCCTTTTAATAAGTTTCTTGCATTTATGGAGCGGTTTTCCTCCCATCCGTGACACAGCTCATGTGCTGATCAAGAAAAGAAAAACCAGGAAAAGGTATTCAGCAAACCTTTTTTCTCTCCCTTCCCACCACATGTTGTTCAAGAGACACAGCTGTTGTACATGGCATTTCTGCTTATTTGCGAGCTTAACACTCCCCTGATAACTTTGCAGATTTTGATAGAAGCAGCCTCTAAGGAGTAAACTGTCTGCAAATGTACATATTAAAGAGTCCCAGGGCTTTTCTGTCCCTGCCCAACCTCAGTCTTCATGATGGGGGGGGGGATTACATTTAGAATGTTCTCAAGCTTAATATCAATTTGCTAATGGAATAAAGAAAGAGCAGGTGAGGAGGTGTTACATCCCCATTACAACTTCTCATAGGAGCCAACTCTTAGGGCCAAGGTCCCTTCAGCCCCCAATAAAATATCCGAGGGAGCCAGGCCTGCCCCCACCCACAATATTTTATTCAATATTCAGTATTATTCAATATTTTATTTATGCACCTCTGCAACTTCTCCAGTCTCAGCTGTTCCCTCCCCAAAGAAACTTTTCTAAAGGAAAGGAGACTGTAATGAGGGCGGTATCGGTAAGTCTCTTTCATTTTCTCCTTTTTTCCAATTCTATGTCCTGTTATTAACATTTCTGCTTTAGTTTGAGGGTGGGTGAAATTTGCATGAAACTGTGTCCTTTACTCATAAAGGGTACATTTTTAAATGCCCCTTTGCCCAGCAATTTCTCCTAATGTAATCCATTTTTACAAGCCCCTTTCACATTTTCCCCTAGTACACGTTTCTATTTATTACTTTGGGGTTTTTTGCACTTATATCTTTCCAACAACCCTGTGAGGTAGGTTAGGCTGAGAGTGAGTTTCATGGCTGAGTGGGGATGTGAACCCCGTTCTCCCAGGTACTAGTCTGACACTCTAACCACTATACAACACTGCACTGTTTTCATACACACTCTGGGGTCAGGGAACTCAAAGGATTACTGCATTTCAGGTCACTTATTGTTTCAGAAGCATGAATTTGGTAGGTTCACATTAAAAGGCAAACGGAATCAGATTTATCCCCCACATCTAGTGGCAAGTTGACCACTCTAATCCCTATACCTCATTTGATAAGCTCAAGAAAACTAACATTTAGTGATATTTAACCTTGTTACTTTATGCAGGCCTATAGACAATTATCAGTTACTTTGCGGCACACACACAGGGTTGCAGCCACATAAATTCTACTCAGAGTAGACCCACTGTAATAGACATTACTAATTTATGCCAATTAACTTAAAGAGGTCTACTTGGAACCCTTGGAATTTATCTCAGATGCACATCTAAAAATAAAAGAGCTTGTGAAATTGCTCTTCAGCCACTTTGTCTTTTAACTAGATAAAAAGCAAAAGTTACTCAAGACAGATTTTTCCCAGTAAAAATTGAGAACAAACAACTGCCTCTTTGATGAACTCTCCCCAAGATTTCTGACGTGTGTGTGTGTGTGTGTGTCAACCACCACTGTGTCCAGACAATACTATGAAATTGTATTATGGAAACAAGATGTGGGCAGGATACCCACACAAGCACAGCAAAAGCAGAACAAAACTTAGGGGAAAGTGGGGAGGGGACCCAAAACTATACTGTTCTCAAGCCAATGGCAACATCTACTAAGAAGAAAAAAGTGTCACAGAAGCCTCCTGGAAAACGTTCACCAAACAGTTTGCCAGATGTTACTGCTCAAAAATAGCATGAAGTTTTGAATAAACCACTCTTGTTAAGCTTTACTTTTAACAGAGATTTATTAAAGCATAAGCATTCATAGAGATAAATCAATTACTTTGGCCTACTTAATAATAAATCTCAAAATCATACACCAAAAAATGCTTGTCTTAATATATTATTAATAGCTGTTATTTTCCTAAAATGCCATTTCCCCTCTATGTGGAGAGATGCACTTTTCCAAACCTTGCATCACAGTAAGTACCTACCTTACTTCAGGCCTAGCAGGACATGAAATACACATATCACTCTTTCAATCACCAGACTACTACAGCTCGCCTACTAGGGAAGTTAGCTGTGTCCTAAAAGTTTCTTTCTCAAGTACTTAACCTCCTCCATCTGGGTCAAATGCTAATCAAGCTTTACTCAGCTGCACTTCCAAGAAATCTACAGAAAGATCAAACTCTGCAACAACTTGAGCACATCAGCTGACTTTTTTTTTTCTGCTTACAGAGAAATGTTTAATGCTGCAGTCCTAATCCTGCTTACCTGGGAGTAAGCCCCATTGAATTTAATAAAAGTTTTGCCTGAGTAGACATGGTTAGGGTTACAGCCTAAACCAGTAAAGCAGATGTGAGGAAACTGACAGCCGCCAGCTGCTGCTGAGGTACAGCTCCTGTTAGCCCTAGCAAGCATGCCCAGTGGTCTGGGATGATGGGAGGGACCAAGTTTCCCCACACTTGCAGTAGAGCATGGTTAGCTAAATCTAGGGTGGCCAGGTCCAGACCCTCAAGTGCCATAGGAAGTAGAATTTCACCAGGCGGAGTTTTCAAATACTGGAGAAAAACAGACCAACCCACGCTGAGTGCAACTTCCCCGTCTGTGTAACTCTTAAACCTGATTCTCTTGTGCCTGTTAGTCACTTGGTGACTTCAGTATCAAGTGATGATTTGTGAGAGAGTGAGAGAGTGAATGACTCCTCAGAAATCTAACCCCATATATGAAACTTTTTCTGGTTAGAAAAAAAAATGAAGGGCTGATACTCATATCTTAATAAAAGTGCAGTGCACAAAATGGCTACCTGGGCGGCAAAATAAGAGGATACAGTACTCTGTACTGGTGAGCACCATTGCACAAAAAAACCTCTGCCTCCCATCATCTCAAAGTACGATGCTGTGGTCCATGCATTTTGTCAGAGAAGCTGCCGGTACCTGTAGAGCAGAGACCAGGGACCATTTATTTCATTCCCAATACAAATTTGTAACCTGCCCCCTCCACTCTCTCTCTCTCGTACACATATAGGAGCCAACTCCTAAGGGCTAAGGTCCCTTCAACCCCCCTAAAATATTTGAGGGGGGCACTGCCATCCAAATGGTGTGTCTGCGTCACGTCGTGTGATTATGTGGGGTGGGGCTTGCCTGCCTCCCCCCAATATTTTATTCAAGTTGATGCCCCTGCACACACACATACCATGACCCAATTACACACAGATAATCTCATGAGTGGTCATTAGGAGGCTGGGGACAAGGTGCTCTCAATCTGCTGATGACACTCAGCTCTGTCTCTCCATAACATCTGAATCAGGAGAGGCTGTGCAGTCCTTGGATCAGGGCCTGGCCACAGTGGTGAGGTGGATGAGGAGAAACAAGCTGAGCTTGAATCCTGGCAAGACAGAGGCACAGGGGGTGAGTAGCTCCCATGCCCGAGACGGTGGTCAACTGCCTACCTTGGGGGAGCTGCACTCCCTTTGAAGGACCAGGTTTGCATCCTGGGTCCTTCCATAGCAGTCAACGTTTCCCTTTTTTAAAGGGAAATTCCCTTATTCCGAATAGGATTCCTCACAAGAAAAGGGAAAAGTTGACAACTATGGGTCCTTCAAAGGGAGCCAGCACTGTCACTGGAGGCCCCGGTAGCAAGAAATAAGGTAACATCTAACAGTCTTTCCAATATTTCTTTTCAACTTGTAGCATCTGTTAATATTTGGTTTTCAAACCCCACTATGACTAGGGATGGGCAAATTTATTCATTTCAGTTTATTTCAGTTTCTTATTTTCCACTCTTAAGTTCCGTTCTCCACATTTCCACATCAGTTTGCAAAAAAATTTTTTTGAAAATTCATCAACATATTTGTTAATTCTACAAAAATATATATTTCTATATGCCATTTCCGCTAATACTGCATAAAGGTTTTTGCAAAGTTTCCTCCCCCAAATATAATGCATCTTTGCAGGCTATTTTCACTAATGTATGCATTTCTTTACACACTTTACTTTATTCACACCATTCACACACATTACTTGACAGGAGAACTGTATTGCAAAATTCAGACAAACATGAATTTTGAAAGTTTCCTGTGTCTCAGTTAGTACAAATGAAGCAGGTTTTCCTTTAAATCTGGACTAAATCAAACCAATATCCCATCCCTACCTGTGACAATAATTGCTGTAATTCCTCCCACTGGCAGTAGCAAGTTTTATGTTCTGTGTTCTTTTCATGTGCAGGAAGTCTATTTATGAATGTATTTGTTTATGCGATTTATATCCTGTCCTTCCTCCCGAAGGAGTTTAGTACCTAGTTTACACAGTGTATTTTCTCCCACAGTTAAGGAATACTGTCGCACGCCACGCCACCCTCCAAGCGGTGTGATATTCCAGGGGTTCCAGGCGCTTTCCCAGGACTTGTGTTTCCTTTTGATTTGATAGAATTGATTTGATTTATTGCATTTCTACACTGCTTTGCATTCAAATGAATATTTTGGAATGAGGGGCAGTGGAGGCTGCGGTGCCTTTATGATACATGGTTTATTTACACATATATACAACCTGGGCCTATGATGGAGGGCTTCACAGCATCAAGACCCCAAAAATGTATTGTTTTCACATAGCCACAGCCTTGGATTCAAGCAGAAATAAGCCATTGTTCTGCCTCTCTGGTTTTCCAACTTGCTGCTTTGTTTCGCGGTCCCATTCCTGCAAAACTCCCCTTCAAACTCTGGCTTTGTCTGTCCAGGGAGGGGGAGACCCACCCATTTGCTGTCTTGCACTGAGCTTTTGTTCTCTTAGTGGCCCTTCACTCAGGCAATCACCTCAGCACAGGAAGCCAGCCTATCTTATATTTTAATACTTGCTGGGTCCAGGGGTTAGATGAAAACAATGCCCGACCTGAAGAATTTGGAGCAAATGATTCAGACAAGAAAGGAGGAGGAGTGGCGTTATATGTCAGGGATGTGTATACCTGTGAAGAGATCCAAGATTTAGAACCTCAAAGCCAAAGTGAGAGCATTTGGGTCAAAATTAAGGGAGAGAAGAATAACAGTGACCTCATTGTGGGAGTTTACTATAGATCCCCAAGCCAAACGGAGGACATAGATGATGCCTTCCTGGAACAGATGGCCAAGCATGCAAAAGGAAGGGAGATAGTAGTAATGGGGACTTCAATTACCCGGATATTTGTTGGATGTCAAACTCAGCCAAGAGCATAAGGTCAAACAGATTCCTCACTGGCCTTGCAGACAACTTCATTGTCCAGAAAGTGGGAGAAGCAACAAGAGGAACAGCCATTTTAGATCTGGTCCTAACCAATGTTGATGACCTGGTTAGTGGGGTAGAAGTGGAAGGATCATTAGGCGCAAGTGATCATGCTCTTCTGAAGTTTCCTATACAGCGGAAAGGAGCAGCCAAGCATACTAGGACTCAATTTCTTGACTTTAAGAAAGCCGACTTCATAAAACTTAGGGAAGTGCTGGGTGAGATCCCATGGCAGTAATACTAAAAGGAAAGGGAGTTCATGATGGCTGGGAGTTTGTTAAGAGGAGATAGTAAAAGCACAACGTCAGGCAATACCAATGAGACGGAAACATGGAAGGTGCCTAAAGAAGCCAGGGTGGCTATCTAAAGAACTTTTAACTGAGTTAAGAGTAAATAAGGATGTGTACAAAAAATGGACAAGGGGGGAAACAGCCAAAGAGGAATTCAAACAAATAGCCAGCACGTGTAGACACAAAGTCAGGAAAGCTAAAGCACAGAATGAACTCAGGCTTGCTAGAGAGGTTAAAAGCAACAAAAAGGCTTTTATGGGTATGTTCGTAGCAAAAGGAAGAACAAAGAAACAGTGGGGTCACTCAGAGGAGAAGATGGTGAAATGCAAACAGGGGACACAGAAAGGGCTGAACTCCTCAATGCCTTCTTTGCCTCAGTCTTCTCCGATAAAGAAAACAATGCCCGACCTGAAGAATTTGGAGCAAATGATTCAGCAAAGGAAACACAGCCCAGAATAACTAAGGAGATAGTACAAGAATACTTGGCTAGTTTAGATGTATTCAAGTCTCCAGGGCCAGATGAACTGCATCCAAGAGTATTAAAAGAACTGGCAGATGTGATCTCAGAACCACTGGCAGTCATCTTTGAGAATTCCTGGAGAACAGGCGAAGTCCCGGCAGACTGGAGGAGGGCAAATGTTGTCCCTATTTTCAAAAAGAGAGGACCTAAATAATTACCACCCAGTCAGTCTGACATCAATACCAGGGAAGATTCTGGAGCAGATCATTAAGCAAACAGTCTGTGAGCACCTAGAAAGGAATGCTGTGATCACCAATAGTCAGCATGGATTTCTGAAAAATAAGTCATGTCAGACTAACCTGATCTCGTTTTTGACAGAATTACAAGCCTGGTAGATGAAGGGAACGCAGTGGATGTAGCCTACCTTGATTTCAGCAAGGCATTTGACAAGGTGCCCCATGATATTCTTGTAAAGAAGCTGGTAAAATGCGGTCTTGACTATGCTACCACTCAGTGGATTTGTAACTGGCTGACTGACCACAAAAGCTTATGCTCTAGTGAATGGGTTTGCTTTTAAAGTGTCATGAGATATGTTGCTGATTTTGCTGCAAGAAACTGACGCAGCAAATTTTCTGGAAACTAAAATGGCACAAACTCAGCTTTTTTTCTAAAGCATTACACTGGAGTCACAAACCTGATGCATTCAGCAACTTTCCTTCATCATTAGTTGCCACAGGCATGGCCTCTGTATTAACATTATTGCTTTTATGCATCTTCTTCCTTAGTTAATTTATTGCTTGAGCCAAACTGCAGAAGGGCATTGCATGATTTGGAAACCCAAAGGAATGGTTTGGGTTGCTTTTTGTATAAACTCCCTTTCTCTAATGATTATGAGACACACACCCCCTCCAGCTATGCACAAGTAACTCTAGGACTAAATAGTCATGAAAAATCATGTCACATAGGCTGCCACTCACTCTGGCTCCACCTGCTGTTGACCTCCTGCCTTACACTCTACCTACCCCATTGGACACCAGCCACCACAGCTGGGTTTGTACTCTTCAACTAGGACTTATGGTTTGAGAGAGTGGGAAAT